AACCAAATACACATTGTTCTCAAGTACACATGTATCATTCTCCAGGATGAACCACACACTTGATTCACCAAGGCAAACATCAACAAGAACATGAAGACTGAAGTCATACCAAGTATCCTCTCTGACCATAAAGGTATTAAACTAGAAATCAACTACAAAAAGAAAGAAAAGGAGGGCCTTCCTGGTAGCACAAGGGGTTGAGACACAGCCTATGAAGCTATCTGCAGCCACTGAAGCACGAGTTCAATCCTGGCCAGGGAGGAGACCCACATGGCACAGCAGACCTCTCCTGACTCACCCGCTGCTCCCCTCAGCAGTGTATTTCGGTCAATCTGCCTGCTCTGTTCCCCACTCTGTCTCTGGTGAATCCTCACACCCCCACACCTCTGACCTGTACCCCAGTTCTTGTATGCATAAATAAATCTTTAAAAAATGAAAAGAAAGCAAAGGAAACCCAAATAAATAGGACCATTAATGAAAGAGGAAAAGTTACAAAAGACATAGAAGAAATTCAGAGTATAATTAGACATTAACAGAAACATTTACATGCAGACAAGTTCAACAATCTAGATGAGATGTACAAATACTCAGAATTATACAATAACCTAAGACTGAATAAAGAATAGATATAACAAAACAATTACAAGCATGGAAATGGAAATATTAATAAAAACCCTCCCAAAAAACAAAAGCCAAGTACTAGATGGTTTCACAGGCAAACACTATCAAGCATTCAAAGATGAACCAATGCCTATCCTGCAAAAACTTTTTCAAAAAATTGAGAGAGAAGAAATACTAACAACTATATTTTATGAGGGCAAGATTACACTATTAGAGGGCACCTCCCCCGTGGTGCAGCGGGTTAAGCACAGCGCTGTGAAGCTGCCGCAGCCTCTGCAGCGTGGGTTCGATTCCCGGCCAGCCAGGGAGATTCCCACAAGGTGTGGCAGACCTCTCCTGTTGCGCCTGCTGCTCCCCTCAGCAGTGTATTTTGGTAGTCTGCCTGTTCTCCTCCCCGCTGTCTCTGGTGAATCCTCTCACCCTCCCATGCCTCTGGCCTCTACCCCAGCACTTGTATAAAAATAAATAAATCTTAAAAAAAAAGAAGGAAACTTAAAAAAAAAAATTACACTAATACAAATACCAAACAAAGACCACACACACACACACACAAAAAAAAAAAAAAACCTACCAACCAATCTCTCTAACATGGATGCTAAAATCCTCAATAAAATCTGAGAAAACCAAATCCAACAATGCAGCAAAAGGAATAGACACAATGACCAAGTGAGATTTATTCCAGGACAAAGATGGTTCAACATTCAAAAGTCAATTAACATTATTCACCACATGAGCAAAAAATAAAAAATAAAAACCATGTGAACATATCAATAAGCATTGAGAAAACATTAAAGTTACACATCCACTGATGATGAAGGCCCTTGAAACACATGGGATAAAAGGAACATATCTTAACATAATAAAACATCACATAAAACAAACCCACAGCTAACATCATTTCCAATTTGAAAAAAACTGGAAATCTTTCCATTAATATCTGGAATAAGTCAAGGATGTCCACTCTCACCACTGCTTTTCTATATAATACTGGAAGTCCTAGCAAGAGCAGTTAAAGAAGAAAAAGACATACAAGGAATCCAAATTGGGAAAGAAGTAAAATTATCATTATTTTCAGATGATAAGATAATATATACAGAGAACCCTAAAAAATCCACAGAAAAACTAATTAAAAAAATAAACCGGTTTAGAAAAGTAGGTTGCAAAAATCAATACACAAAAATCACTACCTGGGTCTGCCCACAGCCTCTGCAGTGCCGGCTCGATCCCTGGCCACCAGCGAGGGTCCCACATGGCGTGCAGACCTCTCCTGCCACACCTGCTGCTCCCCTCAGCAGTGTACTTCATCAATCTGCCTGTTCTGCTCTCTGTTCTGGGTCTGGTGAATTCTCTTACCCTCCCGCAATTCTGACTGTACCCAGTGCTTGTATAAATGAATAAATAAACCTTAAAAAAAAAAAAATCACGACCTTCCTACATGCAAACTGCCTGAAGGGAAATAAATTAAGAAAACCATCTCATTTATAACTGTAACAAAAAAAAATTAAATACCTGACAATAAACCTAACAAAGGAGGTGAAAGTCCTATACAAAGAAAATTATAAAACATTGTTAAAAGAAATAGAAGACACAAAGAAATGGAAAGACATGCTCATGGATAAGAAGAATCAACATTATCAAAATGGTCATCCTACCAAAAGCAATTTTCAGATTCAAAGCAATTTCAATAAAAATCTCAATGGCATGCTTCAAAGAAATGGAAAAAATATTGCTGAAATTCATATGAAATTAAAAATACTCTAAATAGCCAAAGCTCTCTAGACTAAAAATGGTTCAGAACAGAGGTATTATGTGCCCAGACTTCAAAATATACTACAAAGTCATGATAATTGAAACAGCATGGTGCTGTAACAAAAACAAACACAAGACCAAAGGAACTGAATTGAAAGCCCAGAAATAAAACCACAAAAATATGGACAGTTCATTTATGACAAAAGAGCAAAGGATATACACTGGAAGAAGGAAACTCTCTTCCAATGCACAAACCAGACTACACATGCAAAATAATAAACCAAATTATAATTTTGCATACCATACACAAAAATTTACTAAAACTAAATAAAAGACTGAAAAAACTGAAACTATAAAATACACAGAAGAAAACACAGGCAAAACACTCTGACATAAACTTCAAAAACATCTTTAAAGATTCATCTCCAAAAGCAAGGATAACAAAGGAGAAGAGAAACAGCTATGACTTTATCAAAGTAAAAAGCTTCTGTACAGCAAGAGACAGCAACCAAAATGAAGAGACACCCTACTGAACAAAAGAAAGTATTTACACACCATGCATCAGATAACAGACTGTTATCAAAGATCTATAAAAAAAACTTACACAACTCAACAAAAACAAAGTAAACAACCCAGTCAAAAAATGGGCAGAACAGCTAAAAAGACACTTCTCCAAGTGTCTTCCCCAAAGAAATGTTCATATGAAAAAATGTTCATAATCACTTATAATCAGGGAAATGCAAATCAAAACCACATTGAATACCATTTCACAGGGGCGAGAATGACCTATATTTAAAAAAACAACAAAAAACAGAAACAACAAATGCTGGCAAGGATGTGGTTAAATAGGAACCCTCTCACACTGCTGGCGGGAATGTAAACACATTCAGCCACTATGGAAAGCTTTGTGGACATTCCTCAAAACACTAGTAATGGATTTACCATATGACCCAGTGATTCTACTCCTAGGAAACTACCCAAATGACACAAAAACACTGAGGAAACCTGCACTTCTATGTTTATTGCAGCACTACATACAATATCTAAGATATGGAAACAACCTAAAGGCCACAAAATAGATGAATGTGGTATATGAACACAATGGAATACCTCTCAGGGATCAAAAAAGTTAAATTCATGCCATTTGCAGAAACATGGATGGAGCTAGAAGGCTTATGCAAAGCAAAATATGTCAGAAGGAAAAAGATAAATATTGGATTAAAAAAAAGATAAATATATTCCCCTTACATGTGGAATACAGAGAAACTGAACAAAAGGCCAGAAAAAAGACAAAATCTGGTAGCAGACCACAGATTTGTAGAATACAGCAAGGGAGGAGGAGGGAGAGGGGTAAAAACATGGAAGGGAAGAGCACAAGGAACTGTGGATCACGGTGCTATGGTGGTGGGAGACTAGGAACTATACCCTAGGGAAGAAATCAAAAACTGTCCAAAAATTAACAACAATGTAAGAAAATAAATTAATTAATTAAAAAAATAAGACCAAGGAAGAACAGAGAGCCATGCCTCTTGATGGATCACAGGCTAAAGGAGAAAGTGTGAAAAAGAATGGCTGGAGTAAGGAAAGTATTTTATGTGTGTTTTAGTTTCTATAACTAAATAAAAAGTAATTTGCCCTCCTGATTTTATTTCTACATATCTAAATACACTATCTACATGTCTAAATACACTTATTGGAATTTCCCAGGGTCCAGTCGCAGGATTGTTTCTCTAGTCATGCTCTCTTTGTGAGCTATACTACCACTCCCAGAGCTGTGATTCTCACAAAAGACTTACTTCCAGACTGCCTTGATTCAGACTCCCAGCTGTGAGTCTGCAAGCTTTACCAGTACTTTGCACTTAGCCCTCTCAGATTTCACAAGCTCATCCCTCATATTCCCCACCTGTTCTTCCTACTCTGGGCCCCTTGATTCCCATTCCCAGTTCCTCTCGAGGCATTTATTCCATAGGCTACTCCACAAGAACCTCCCTATAAGGTCACGCAGAGTCCTCAGGCCTTTTCTGCTGGATTCATCACCTAACCACACCCCATAGCCTCAGCTTGTCTTCAGTATTTCTTTCCTTTGCTCAGAGCATCTGCTCAAGCAATGTGTCATTGGACTGCTACTGGGCCCTGCTACAAAATAGGCTCTCCATCACTGTTCACTGAACTGATCAGAATCCTTTTCACCTTCCAAACACACTCCATACTTCTCTACTTCTGTCTTTTTTCACCTTCACCTTTCTCACATCAATCCACCATGCTATTGTCAGAGGCCCTGTCCTCCACAAGGTCTCTCCTGACACTCCATTCTCTATTAGACTTCCCCTCTCTTTGAGATTTGGTTTGCTAGTCGACTCTGTCTCATCACATGACTACCAACCTGTAGGCCTAACCACCCAAATGGTTTAGAAAAATCATTAAATGAGTCCAATTTAGTCAACAGCTTTTCTGGAACACCTAAAACGAGTCTTTCAATAAATAAGTGCCCAGACATTAATGAAGTTTTAATGGGTTTAGTACAAGTGACAAGGATATGAAAACAGTCGGAAATGTGCTGTCATCATCTAAGTGTCTGCAGTCAATTGGAGGAGAGTGATTTTAAATGCATTTCAGCAGTCTTACTTTACCTTTTGCTTCATTATCCACCTCATCCCCTGGAAGGCCCAGCCGTTTTTTCCCGAAATCAGGTCCCACTGATTTCAAGGTTGTTCTCTGTGACTTTTCATTCTTCCGATGGGCAAACAACAAGGAGGAAGATGAGGAATCAAATGATGAGGAGACCGTGTAATCTACAAGTGGATCAATACTGCTCCTAGTTAACCAGTTAAAGGAACTTCTTTCATCTGCAAACAGGTAAGAACAGAGCACATCACAGCAAGCTCAGCACTGTACAGCCCTGCCAAGTTCACATCAGATAGGGCAAATGTCAAACACACTGAGTAAGAAGAGGGCAAACGTTCTGCAGCTCCAAGTTTTCCATGCACTAACCCTACAAGTGATTGGAGACAGTTCCTCCAGGGAGACAGTCTATTATGGCAAAATACACCAGGCAGTGATTCTAGCAGAGCACTAGTAGCAGCTCAAGGCAGCCCAGGCATCCACGGCTCTGTATCCCCATTAGTAAAACATCATCTGCTCCTTCAGGCTGCAGTGACCATTACATGAGTGATGCTTTGTATCTAATATTTCTAACAGCAGTGTCATAACACTTCCATTAGAATTATCCAAATTAGTCCCACTTCCAGAGCCAACAGAATGTGAGCTTTTTATAAGAAAGTTTAAATATATTGGATGGTTCCACTAATAGGAGGAATATAAGGGAACCAAAAAAGAGATCAGGAAAAAAAATAACAAAAAAAAAAACCCCACAGCAAAACAAAATAAAAATAAACAGGCAACTACAAATCAGAGACATTCTGCAGGGGCAAGGGAGGGAGATGGATCAAAACGAGGGAGGGAAGAGCACAGGGGACTATGGTGATGGTGCACGGGTGAATTGGTGGTGGAAATTCTATGGGGACTCCACCTGAGAAAAGAAAGCAAACACTGTACAAAAATGAACAATGATGTAAAATATATATAAATTATTAAAAAATAAAGTTTAAATATTTATATAAAATGATAAACATATATTTAGCTGATCAAAAGAAACAACTGAACCATGTGGGGAAAAGTGTAATAAACTGCAAACACTATGAATGAATTTGGTTTACTCTACTTACTTTTTTATAAGGATTTTTTAAAATTTGATGCAGTAAACAGGTCATTTTTGGATGAAACTGAAACAAATATGCGAGTACTGAAATGTTTTCCTTTTTTTCTTGTTAGAAATACAACTTTACTCTTTTAAGAAAAATAACTGGTAAAATGTAGATAAACATCAAATTGATTATTTTAACCATTTTTAAGTAGAGAGTTCTGGAACATCAAGTACATTCATATAGTTGAACAACTATCACCACCATCCATCTCCAGAACTTTTTCATCTTCTCAAACTGAAACTCCACACCCACTAAGCACTAACTCCCCATTGCCTCACACTCCCAAGCCTTGGAAACCAGCCTTCTATTTTCTGTCTTAATGAATTTGACCACTCTAGGAAACTCCTTTGACTGACATGTTTTTTTTGTGGTTATCATTTTTTTTCTATTTTTTCTATTGTAGTTTCACATTTCTTACAGTCAGTGTTGCTGCAATAGAAGGTGCTTCCACAGTACACAGTACCTGGTATATACCAGCCAGGTATTCAGGTAGATGGTTACCTGCATTTTGTGTAGGTGTGAAATCAGTCTGTTGTTGAGTGGCCCGTATCTGTCTAGCCAATATCCCTTGAGCTGAGAGGGATCCCTCTTGGGTCCGGATCTGGGGAGTACTTTGGGAGGCCTGAGTCTCAATAAACATTGGAGTAAGAACAGTACTTCGGAAACGCCAGTCAGAATCAATAGTATATTCCTGCATGAAAGAGTTTCAAATGAAATAGCTTCTTTAGCAATGCTGAAACATTTTTATTTAAAATCTAAAGGTACTATCAGCACATAAGTAATAAATTCATTTTTCTTTTTGGGAAGCACTTGAGTAAGAACCTTTTCAAATTTAAAAATTTCAACTAAGTAATTATTTACCAATTAGAAAAAGTAATTGGTATTGGGGAATAAAACCATTTTTCTACTCCTTAATATTCCACATTAAACACAAAAACTGATTGTCTACTCAGTGAATAGAAGGAGCAGTGGAAGGGGGAGAAAGTAACATGAGAAAAGAAATTCTAGGTGGAGAATCAAAGAAAAATTATAAGCTGAGCTGAGTGTGGGGAGTAGGGGCAGAAGAAGCAAATGTGAATGTTTCAGAAAGGAATCTGTGAATATTTCAAGCAAAATAAGAAAGCCAGTTTAACAGTATTACTAGATTTCAAGCAAAGTAAGAAAGTCAGTCTAACAGTATTAATAGATGTCTATTAGTCAACTATTAGACTGTTAGTTAACAGAAAAAGGTAAGAATTATTACAAAGACAAGTACATCACCTGAAATTCGCATTCAGACAGAGGATGCTCAAACATAAGGTTTGAATAATCTGGACTCATGCTGGTCATTTCAAGCAGAAAATCTGTTGCTAAACTTAAAAAGTGCATTTCTATCTTAGGAGAATATAGGGAATTTAGTGCCAACAATCGCTCCAAGGTATTTGAAGGTAACCTAGTTTCATGACTCCAGAAATTTCGAATGATTAATCTGAAAAGCAGAGAGAAAAGAAATATGTTAGCAAATGAGAAAAAATGCTTCACACACATTGTCATGTGAAGTAGACATAACTGTTCATTATATAATTTAACACAGAGGAAAAATACATTTAAATTTGTATAAAGAGTATAATCTGAGTTATTAAAACAACATGCATTGAAGGAAGTAAGGTGGGAGTAAGGGAAAATTCCAGAACCTTAGAATATTTAACAAGAAGTGATAAATGAGATTACTTTTATTCTCATATTTATTATCTGGGAAGTTTTAGATGATAAGTACATAATACTAACTTTTTTAAACTAAGAAAACTTAAGAAATTGCATATAGTCCTTCACTGTATTGCTAAAAAATTTACTCCAAATATTAGTGCCATAAAAATATCCAAATCTGGCCTCCCCTGGTGGCGCAGGTGGTTGAGCACCGCGCTGTGAAGCTGTTCACAGCCTCTGCAGCACTGGTTCGATCCCAGCCAGCCAGCAAGGGTCCCACATGGGGTGGCAGACCACTCCTGTCATGCCCACTGCTCCCCTCAGCAGTATATTTAGTCAGTCTACCTGTTCTGCTCCCTGCTCTGTGTCTGGTGAATCCTCTAAAATAATTAAATAAATATTTTTAAAAAATCCAAATCAAAAATTAGTTAAAAATCATATTAGGCTTTATAATTTATAAATGCTTATAAAATCCAAATACAATCTTTAAAAGCTCAATGAATTTAAAATTTCAGAATAATATTCAAAATCATACAAAAAGTTTCTGCCCCTTTTTATACTATTAGTACTTGATAAATCACTCATGTAACTAACTTAGGTAGGCATTTTAGAGAACTATCTACTCCCACATATATACAAATATATATATGTATGTATATATAAAATTCATACTTCCACAGATAATTAACATTAGTTTTTCTTCTATTTCTAAGTTTCAAACAGTTCATTCAACATTAATATGTATAGTGTGATCTCAACTATTTGAGTTGAACGGGAAACATAATCCTCATTACAAATTCATTTTTAATTTTGAAGCTCATTAATTCACTGCACTAACAGAGAGGTATACTGGCACCGCTTTTTCAAGAGTTTTCTATTAAAGCAACTTGTCAGAGAATTAATGTGATTTAAATATATATTTATTAAGCATTATGACTATGGGAGTCAAAAAATATGCTACTATTGCACATAAATGCTAAAATTGCTGAAAATACTCTATGCTAGTCTATAAAGAAATACCCCTAAATTTATTTTAGCCCAGTTTCTTCAGGAGGTACACATACTGAAGCCCCAGGTTTTCATCGATCAATCCTTGAATCAATACTTCTTTGGCCAATTTAAATATTTCCTGGGAGTCATCGTCTGCTTGATTTTCTGGATCTCTGAGAAAAACAACAACATAACAAAACATTAATTATCTCTTCTAACACTTTTGTTCAACCCCAATTAACACTGCCAAGAAAAACAGAAAAAAAAACAAAAACCTGGCCTTTCCCATGTTACTGGAACTTTCAAAATCATGGTAGAACCACCCTCATGCATGTTTCCTAACACTTCCCTTTGGTATCTCTTCGAGCCCATTCCATGGTGGCACACCCCACTCCCATGAAAAGGAGAAAAGAATGGGTGGTGGGAGTAAGGCTGCACAGGGTTCCCTAGGCACTCGAAGAGGACCTACAACAACCCAGGCTCCACAGGGAATGATTTGACAGTTGCCCTAAAGGATAAAAGCCCAGAGAGTTCACTTCCTTAATCTTGTCATACCTTATAGCGATAACTATGAAACAAATTTTATAGCCAAGACTTTTATACTGTTAAATTAACCAGTAATTTCACACTCTGAATATTTCCCACATTTAAAATGAGTTAAAATAAATATATATTTCAATACACAAAAAACAAAATTATTTCAATTGTTAATCACATGTTTTAAAATGTTTTATTATTTATTAAACTCTGTACCAGACTGCTAAAGGCACTGACATTATTCACTAAAAAAAAAAAAAAAATGTCAAATACCAACATAGAGCTCACCGGTAGTTGTCATGGATCCACATAAGGATATTATACATTTGCTCCCTGCACACAGGAGAGGGGTGAGAAATGAATTCTACAATAGGATTCAGGAGTTCACGAAGTTCTACTGGTTTCAATTTTGCCATCATCTTATATATTATATCCAAACATACTTTTTGTCTTTCATCATCTCTATAACAGATTTTAAAAAAAAAAACACAGATTTAATAATTTTTATACGACACTTTCAGGTATGATAAAATTTTTCTTCTTTGAGCAATTCTGTATTCCAAATTAATGTTATAAAAAAGAACAATCTTAAAATTATCATCATGGGCTAGATTATTAAAAACAAATGAGAGGAACCCCACAAAACTTTGGTGGAACTGAGAAAGGGCAAGTTCTGCAGAAGGAGGTGAACTAAAAAAGTGTGTGCAAGCCAGGCCCTGTGCCCCTCTGTGATTTGAAGCCGAGAGGGGAATCCTCCACCTAGATGAACTGCAGGTGCTGGGAAAGCGACCCCAGGCTTCACTGTTACAAGACAGGGAGTTGCAGGACAGGGACCTCAAGATCCCCCTATGGAACTAAGTAAATACCGAGGGCGGGAATTTTCAGGGACAGAACCCATCAACATATCCACAGTGCCACAGCCATAGTGGAGTGTTGCCATAACAGTGCTCACTCAATCTGGCCACCATTTTCCAATATCACAGAAGGAGCACTCCAAAGAGATGCCCGCCAGTACCAGCGGTACAGTGTCCCAAAACATAGAACAAATTACGAAACAAACAACAGGGAGAAGGAAAAATACAAATAACCAAGCAAGCCCTCAGGGGAAGGACACTCAAAAAAAAGATAATCAGCCACCAGAACTCAATAACAATAACATGGAGTAACTCCTCTGTCTGCCAGATAGAGAATTTAAAATCATCATGATTAAAACATAAAGATGAGAAGAAAAGAACAATATGAGAAAAATAATTATGATCTCAAGAATGAAACTGAGACTCTAAAGAAGGAAATGAAAGAAACATAGGAGATTAACGGAGGGAACTAAAGAACTCGGGGAAAGCAATGAAAACAGAATTGATAAAATGGAAGAGTGAATCAGTACTCTCAAAGATACAGAAGAAAAAAAAAAAAGAACCAAGAAAGAAAAGGAAAGAGAAATAAAAAGGAAAAAGAATGAGGAAAACACTTTGAGAGCTATTGGACACCATGAGGAAAGGAAATGTAAGCATTAAATAATCCCAGAAAGTCAGGAGAGAGACCAAGGAACCGAAAAAATATTCAAGGAGGTAATCGAAGAAAACTTCCCAAACATGACAAAAGAGATGAAAATAGACAAAGTGAAAACACCAAATTACCACAATGAAAGGAAAACTACAGCAAGGCACACAATAGTAAAGCTTGCAAGAAGCCAAGACAAGGGAAAAATAATGAAGCTGACAAGGGGAAGAAGGAGGTAACTTCTGAAGGATCAGGCTGATCCTTCACTTCTGTGAAGATACACTATGGGCAAGAAGAGAATAGAGTGACATATTCAACAAACTCAAAGACAATAAATGCCAATCAAGAATACCTTACCCTTCAAAGTTCTCCTTCCTCAATGGGAAATTAAAAAAATAAGGAACTTCTCAGACAAGCAGAATCTATAGAAATTCATTACAGCTAACCTCCACTCCAAAAAAGACTACAATAATTCCTAAAGCTGAAATCAACAGAGGAATGAATAAGAACAGAATGAGGCAAGGAATAAAATCACAAAAAGACAAAATGGAAAACATATCAATATTATCTCTAAATGTAAATGAACTAAACTCATCAAAAAAAGACACAGAGTAGCAGGCTGGATTAAAAAACAATACAACCACTGCTGCCTCCAGGAAGCACACTTAACTACAAATGATAAAAATAGGCTGAAAGTAAAAGGATGGAAAACAATCCTACAAGCAAATGGACCAAAACAGAAGGCAGGAACAGGTATACCTATATCAGATGAAATAGACTTCAAACTAAAAATGGTAAAAAGAGACTTAGTCAGTCACTACATTATCATTAAGGGGAAAGCGATCAAGAAGACATAATTCAGCCCATGACACTAACAAGGTACAATTTATGGCATATTTTCTTCAGGAAGTTCTGGGGAAAGTGGGTAGCTGCCCAAAATGCCGCTCTTTACCTGAACACACCCTTTTTTATGATAACAGCCTCCACTAAAGAAACCCATCTCAACCCACCAGAGGTTTTGAGAGGTTTTTAGTGACCATGTGCTCACAAAAATGTTTGTAGTAGGACCTCCCTGGTGGCACAAGGGGTTAAGTCTCAGCACCATCAAGCTATTGGCAGCCACTGCAGCACAAATTTGATCCCCTGCCAAAGAGCTGACCCACATGTCTCAGCAGACCTCTCCCGTCTTGCCCGCTGCTCCCCTCAGCAGTGTATTTCAGTAGATCTGCCCTTTCTGTGCCCCACTCTGTCTTTGTTGAATCCTCTCATCTCCCACTGCATGCCAGACCCCCCTGGTAGCTGTATCTAAAACACATTACTTCTCTGATTTGCTTGCCTCTGGCCAAATGCTGAGTGAAGAGCAAAACTAGTAGTAAGAAAAAAAAAAAAAAAGAAGACATAATACTCATGAACATATACTCATCAAATGAAGGAGCACCAAAATATATCAGACAAATTTTATCATCTCTGAAAACAGATATTAGAGAAAATACATATATAGTAGGACACTTCAACACACCTCTCTCCCCAGTGGATATATAAATAAGACAAAAAATAAGAACATTAGAGCTCTAAACAAGGACCTAGACCTCATGGGCTTAACAGACATCAATAGGAGACTGCACCCAGAAAGATAAGAGTACACATTTTTCTCAAGTGCACACAGATCATTCTTCAGTATTGATCACATACTGAGACATATGACAAACATCAACAGATACACTAAGATCAAAAACTTACCAAGATACTTACCAAGTATCTTCTCTGACCACAAAGGCATCAAACTAGAAATATACCATGAAAAGAAAGCAAGAAACCCTCCTACCTCATGGAGATTGAAAATACACTACTGGACAACCAATGGATCAATGAGATCAAAGAAGAAATTAAAAAATACCTGGAGATGAATGATAATGAGGACAAAACTATACAGAACAATGGGGCACAGCAAAAGCAGTTATAAGAGGAAAATATATAGCAATACAGGCTCACATCAAGAAACAAGAAAGAACTCAAAAAACAACCTAATCCCCCACTTTAAAGAACTGGGAAAAGAACAACCAAAAAACCCAAAAGCCCGCAGAAGAAAGGAAATAGTAAAAATAAAAGCAGAAATAAATGAAACCAAAGTTAAGGAAACAATCCAAAAGATCAATGAAACCAAAAGTGCGTTCTTCAAAAAAAAAATAAACAATATAGACAAACCTATAGCCACGCTCACAAAAAAAAAAAAAAAAACCACAAAATGGGAGACAACACAAATAAATAGGATCATAAATGAAAGAGAAGAAATTACAACCAAAACAGCAGAAATCAAATGAATAATCAGAGATTACTGTGAAGTTATATGCAAATAAGTTCAACATTCGAGAGAAGATGGACAAATTCCTACAACTTTACAATCATCCAAAGCTAGATAAAGAAGAAATAGAACACCTAAACAGACCAATTACAAGCAGTGAAATTGAAATGGTAATCAAAACCCTCTCCAAAAACAAAAGCCCAGGACAAGATGGCTTTACAAACATTTAAAAACAAACAAGTCCTCTCCTACACAAACTCTTTCAAAAAATTGAAAAGGAAAGGATACTGCCAATATACATTTTATGAAGCCAATATCACACTAATACCAATACCAATGAAAGACAACACAAAAAAAAGAAAACTACTGATGCGAAAATCCTCAATAAAATCCTAGCCAACAGAATCAAACAATGAATCAAAAAGATAATTCACCACAACCAACAGCATTTATTCCAGGGACACATGGATGGCTCAACATCTGAAAATCAATTAATGTAATCCAACACATTAACAAAAAGAAAAATAAAAACCACGTGATCATATCAATTGATGCTGAGAAAGCATCTGATAAAGTTTAACATTCATTTATGAAAAAGGCCCTTGAAATTCTCAGGATAGAAGGAACATATGATAAGGCCATATATGACAAGCCCATCACCAGTATCATTCTCTGGTGAAAAGCTGAAAGCCTTTCCCTTAATATCTGGAACAAGACAAGGATGTCCACAACAGCTTTTCAATATAATACTGGAAATCTGAGCCAGAGCAATAAGACAGAGAAAGACATACAAAGGATCCAAATAGGGAAAGAAAAAGCAGATGATTTTTGCAGATGATTTAATATACATGGAGAACACCAAAAACTCCACAAAAACTCTAATCACAACAATTAATCAGTTCAGTAAAGTAGTAGGATACAAAATCAACACACAAAAATCAGAAGCCTTCCTATATGCAAACAATCCGAATAAGAATAAATTAAAAAAAAATCCCTTTTATAATTGAAACAAAAAAATCAAATACTTGGGAATAAACCAAACAAAAAACGTGAAGGTTCTAAACAAAGAAAACTATAAAACATTGTTAAAAGAAATAGAAGACACAAATAAATGGAAAGAGATCCCCTGCTCATGGATTAGAAGAATTAACACTATCAAAATGGCCATCCTATCAAAAGTAATTTATAGATTTAATGCTATTCCAATAAAAATTTCAATGACACTCTTCAAAGAAATAGAAATAGAATAATATTGATGAATTTCATGTGGAGACACAAAAATAACCTCAACTAGCGAAACCATCACAATCCCAGACTTCACAATCCTGGACTTCAAACTATTCTACACAATCCCCAACTTGAAACTATACTACAAAGCCATAATAATTAAAACTGCATGGTACTGGGACAAAAACAAATGGACAATGGAACAACTAGAAAACCAAGAAATAAACCCACAGATTTTATGTTTAAAATCTTTGACAAAGAAGCACAAATATGGAATGGAACAAAGTTTGTTGAATAAATCGTGCTTGGAAAACTGGTCTGCTACCTGCAAAGGCATGAAGCTAGACTACTACCTCTCACCATGCACAAAAAGCAACTCAAAATGGATCAAAGAATTAGACATAAGACCTGAAACCATAAAATACATAGAAGAAAATATAGGCAAAACACTACATGACATACATCTTAGTAACATCTTTTAAGACATATCACCAAAGCAAAGATAGCGAAGGAAAAGATGAACGGTTGGGACTACATCAAATTACAGAGTTTCTGTACAACAAAAAAGAGACATTAATCAAAACAAAGAGACATCCTACTGATTGTGAGACAATTTTTGCCCTCCATACAACTGATAAGGGACTGAACACAAAGATCTACAAAGAATTCACATGACTCAACAAAAACAAAGTAAACGATCTATTCAAAAAATAGGCAGAACTTAAAAGACACTTCTCCAAAGAGAAAATGCAAATGGCCAACAGGTAAAAGAAATGAGATACCACCTTACACCAGTAAAAATGACATATCAAAAAAACAAGCAACAACAAATGTTGGCGAGGATGTGGTGAAAAAGGAACTCTCCTACATTGCTGGTGGGAGTGCAAACTGGTCCAACCACTATGGAAAGCTGTCTGGAGGTTCCTCAGTCTACTGAAAATGGAGCTTCCAGATGACCCAGCAGGTCTACTACCAAGGGTCGACCCAAAGGACACAAAAACATTGATTTAAAAGAATACCTGCACCCCTGTATTTATTGCAGCACTATTTATAATAGGTAAAATCTGGAATCAACCTAAATGCCCAAAAGTAGATGACTAGATCAAAAAGATGTGGTATATATACACAATAGAATACGATTCAGCAATCAATAAAGATAGACTAATGACATTCACAGCAACATGGATGGAGCTGGGAGGGATTATGCTCAGTGAAATAAGTCAGAAGGAAAAAGAAAAATACCAGATCATTTCAGTCAGAGGAAGAATATAGGGGATCAAGGAAAAAAAATAATAAAAAAAACCCACAACAAAACAAAACAAAAATAAACAGACAACTATAAATCACAGACATTGTGCAGATGAGGGGGAGAGAAAGGGATCAAAACGAGGGCGGGGAGAGCACAAGAGCACCTGTGATGGTGCATAGGTGAATTGGTGGTGGAAATTCTATGGGGGCTGAGAAAAGAAAGCAAACATTGTAAGAAAAAAGAATTGAGAAATAAATTTAAAAAAAAAAATCAATTCAATGTGGTATCCTGAATTGGATCCTGGAATAGAAATATATATCCTATAAATTTAAGTTAATTAAGAGTAATGTGGTGGGCCTCCATGGTGGTGCAAGGGGTTAAGACGCAACCTATGAAGCTGTTTGCAGCCTCTGCAGCAGTTCGATCCCCGGCCGTCCAGGGAGTGACCTACATGGCATGGCAGACCTCTCCTGACTCGCCCACTGCTCCTCTCAGCAGTGTATTTCAGTCAGTCTGCCTGTTCTGTTCCCCACTCTGTTTCTGGTGAATCCTCTCACCCCCCACACAACTGGCCTGTACCGTAGCTCTTGTATGCATAAAATAAATCTTGAAAAAAAAAAAAATAATGTGCTAATGTTAATTTCTTAGTTTTGACAAACTCACCAGGATGTTTAAAATGATAAAATTGAGTGAGAGTTATGGGGGAATGCTGTGTACTATCTTCTAAATTTTCTGTAAATATAAAACTATTTTAAATAAATATTTTATTTGAAAAAACCTGACAATGTCAAACAAAATAAGCTAAATATAAGCAATTAGATTCTTGTCAGGCTACCTGGCATGTCATATACTAGGGTGTCAAATGAGGTGCATAATTATCTTGTGTACATTTGCCTCCTTAAATCACCCAGTTTCACGCCCTACGCAACAGACACTCAGCACATGTTTACCAAGGATTATTAGAAAACAAAGACATATATTCTTTGTTACTGGGATTCATCATACACATTCATCAGTAACTGATTACTACATAAATATATATATAATAGGACAAGACTGGAAAATAATTCAGAGAAATGAAACAATAAGTAAGCAACAGCATTCGCTTTTAATATTTACTTTAATGGTATACTGCTATCCTGAAAATAAATGAACAATTTTAAATAACAAATAATGGAAGCCTCTTCCCTGGAAAAACAGGTACAGATTTCAAAACCATGCCTTTTAAATCTGAAAAGAGCCTTAGATACTCCCTGAGATATGGCCTCCTCAAGGTGTCAAGCTAGAGGAACAGGAAGGCAAAGCCCACTACTGTCCTTCTCAGATTCAAACACCACAAATATGTGTTTCGTGAAAACCTGCAAATTCTTTATGAGTTGAAAGAGGTAACTAACTAACCAATGCACATTTAATGAGCCAGCTTCATCCATGAAGATGGGGCTGGGTCCCACTCACCTGTGTTTCATGACTTGGATGAAATCCTTGCTCTTTAGCTGTAGGTACAGATCTGTTGTTTCCTCTGCACGGCATAGCACCACCTCCAGGCAAAGAGTCTTCATCACGCCATGAAATTTTGGCAGCAGGAAGAACACAGTGTTCATAAACCTAATCAGTGAACAGTCAGCAAGTTCAGAGGATGGTCACAGACCCTGTTCTGCCACGGGACATTTACCACAACATCCTACCTGTCAGCAAGAGGAGGGAAGTTCTTCACAGCTTTATTCAAACATACTATGAATTTGTCCTCCATTGTATTCTGATGTTGCTTCAACTGTTTTACAACCATTTCACTTACTGACTCCTGCAGTATCTGGAAAATTAAGTTTATCTTCAAATACATAAGGTACTAAAAAATAGCAAAGTGAATCTGAGGAAGGTCGTTAGTGTTATCATCTACAACAATATTTGCAAGGTGAAGTGCAAGAATGTCCATGGGGCAATAATGACTGTCACACCTTTCAGAGGCTCTGGTGATTTCTGGGAAGCCAGGCACTGACAGGTGTACTGTCAGAGTAATAAAGAGGAGAGCTTCCTTCTAACACTCAAACACAGACAACAAGTTAACTGAGAAACTGAACTAAAATTAGTAAATGCTGTTCTAGAAACGTTTTATGTTTAATGTTCAGACATCTATCTCTGAGCAAAATATTCACACAAACCTGAATTTTCAAGCAACTCTATCTGAGCAGCTGCCTGTCACTGTCTATCTCCCTATTTCCTATTTTCTCTTCATTATTTAATCCTACTTACTAAGATAGATCCTTTGTGCATTTTCTGTCTCCCCTCAAAAATGCCCACTCCCTGGGTTTGGTCTGTCCTGTTATTTACTACATCCCCAAAGCCTAGGATCAACCAGTAAGTATTCAACAAAGATACACAACAATAGGAACCCAGCAATAAGATACCAGAAAACAAGTACTGGGATTGGAAATTGAGACTTAATAGTTTAACTTAGCCTTAAACACAGCAGGTATTTATGAGAATAATTTATTCCATAAGGAAACCCTGAAACCAAGTTCAGGGAATAAAAGTTGATTAAATACTCAAATCCTGACTTTTACAATAAAAAGTAAGTTACCAATCTTTAAATGTTTACCAAATTTCTAAGTGTTTTTAAAAATGTCTTCTTTTAAAAAAATGAGCACTGAATATGGTAACTGGAAATTGAGTTGAAGTATTAATTAATGCTCACTTGGCACTTGGGTTTCTTTCTTTCTTTCTTTCTTTTTTTTTTCTTTTGTGAGACCCTTGCCAGCGGCCGGGGACCGGCGCTGCAGAGGCTGCAGGCAGCCTTGCATCCCAGCGCTCAACCTGCTGCGCCACCAGGGGAGGCCCTCACTTGGGTTTCTTAAAGTACCTAGGATTTATTGAGTGCCATGATAAATCAAAATTTAAAAAGACGCAAATATTTAAAACTACACAAGACACTCACATGTTCTCTCTCAGTAACATATCGAAGAATGAGTCCTAGAACTTCTGCTGCTGCTGCATAAACCTCTTTATATTTCACCAAGGACATATTATTGACCAAAGCTTGAAAGTATCTATAACAAATAGAAAATAAATATGTATAAAATAATCCATTCTGTTATTTGACATAAAAGTATAATTTTATTTCTTAAGTCATATTAATAGCACAAACTGAGAAAACATGAAGCCTAAATCATGATTTGAATGATCTGTGAGACTGCCATATATGAATCATGTATTTAAGGCTATTAAGGCATTTAACATGACCAGGAAGGCACATGAAAATTCATGGGTCAAATCAGTGTAAAAAAATAATAACAATACAAAACACAACAAAGCACAAACAGACAATTAGGAATCAGAGACAAACTGCGGGGGAGGAAGAGGGAGAAGGATCAGAGAGAGGGAGGGAGGAGCACAGGGGACTGAGGTGATGTTGCAGGGGTGCATTGGTGAAAGATATTCTATGGGGACTACACCTGAGGGGGTGGGGAGAAGCAAATATTGTTTAAAAATGAACAATGATGTAAAAAATAAAAAAATTTAAAAAACAAAGAAAGTTCATGGGTCAATCACACAGGAAATGCTATAGCCAAAGCAAAACAGCTGGATACCATAAAAATTAAAATGGGGGAGGGGGAAACAAACTATTATCCAAGATTATGATTTACCCTGACTTCCATTTAAAGTCACCTTCTGGGAGAGGACAGTAAATGAGTCAGAGTGGGCATGACCACAAAAAAAGGTACCTTTTAACCTCCAGCCCACAGGAACTCAGTGAGGTTGTCACCAAGGAAATCAAAGTTTGAACAAGTAACTTAACTAGAAGTAAACTATTTTCCATTGAATCTGTGTTAATCCATATGTTGTCTATGATCCCAAAAGCTGGTTTAACTCACTGGGGACAAGGAGGTTGGGGGTAAGGGTTGGGCCTAACAGGAAAAACAATTAAACAGAAAGAGATGAGATACTTCCAGAGACATGAGAAAAGTCAGACGGGTCATGATGAAATGTATAAAGTGACCATGATATGAACACTGACTTTTCAAAAACCTATGTAATAGCACCATGTGTGGTAATACAAAAGTATCTTATTAAAGTTGCATCCCTTCATATGTGAGCCATCCTACTTCACTTGTGAGCCAGGGGAGGTTTTGGAGAGCAGTGCCATGCAGCTATGGCAAAAAGCACAGGGCAGCACAAAATTTGGGCGGGCATCCTGAAGTTGGTCGAAGATCCTACAATGAATGGTCTCAAGGAGCTCATGTTGCTCAAGGGGTAAATACTAAAATGTCAGTTTAGAAAATGAGAAAATACCTAACATTTCTTATTTGCCAAAATATACATTAAAAAATCACAGTAATTTTTAAATACTAACTATCCTCATTCATACCATTAACCTCTAACCTATTTCTTTTCCCAATGACCTCTAAACTCAACTATATATATGTATACATAGAGTTATAGATATATATATTAATATACATAGGTAGAAAAATGTCAACATTGGTGTTAGTTCATAACTTTTAAAAAATTAAACTATATTCCAGTTTATTGATTCAATTCAGGTATACTTTAACCTAAAAAAAAAAAATCGGAAAAAATACTTACTTTATACTCTCTATGCCACATTTTGAATCATAAGGAGGCAAGTTATTGGCCATTATAATTCCTAATAATTGTATTCCTACAGAGTTGTCTTTAGAATTAGAATCATTACTGGAAAACTTTTCAAATATTAGCCTGAAACATAACCAAAAAGAAAAAGTACAGACTGTCATATAAGAAGCAGAAAGACAAATACAGAATTTTCTATGACTAATTTTCAGGGAAGAAATACTTTTTCTTCTCCATGTAACACCCTTCTTGATAATACCCTCTTTGTTCACATCCAGGTTATTAGAGCTTTGAAACATGAGCAGCTCTGTACTTCTTATAATCTAATTATTGGCCCCAATTCCCCCTTAGTTGAAAGTTTTAGCTTGCCTTAGTTTATGCTAAAAGGAACCAAGGAAAACCCCTATAGTCCACCCCTTGACTGGGACAGTGAAGAGCAGTGTACACCATAATCCCACTTGGGAGAAATGCAGAGGGGAGCTGAGAGATGGTGTGGGGCCACCTGGAGGTGATCTCAGCTCTTGGAGGTTGTGATTTTTTTAGTAGCAATACTATACCCTTATTAATGGATTCGACTTCAAATTATATTCCTTCTATCATCTCAAGTAATAAAATTTCATATAATCACCATTTACAACAAGCGGCTTTGTAAAAATTCTTTAGCAAATTGCAATATTTAGTAAAACGGTACCTGTAAGGAACAGATAAACAATCCTTCCAGCATTCAACAAGGGTTTTTATAATTTCAAGGTTGTGTTTAAACACGGCTCTTTTTTGATGAAAAACATGTTTCATTAAGAAATGAAGCAATCGATTTGCTAATACTTCATCTTTAGGGACTCCCTAAAAAGGTACAGAAATTCTGTGTTAATATGTAGCACTGCAGGGCTTTCCTGGTGGCGCAGGGGGTTATAACGCAACCTATGAAGCAATTGGCAAACACTGCAGCACAAGTTCGATCCCCAGCCAGGGAGAAACCCACATGGCGCAGCAGATCTTTCCTGGCTCGCCCGCTACTCCCCTCAACAGTGCACTACCGTCAATCTGCCTGTTCTGTTCCCTGCTGTCTCTGGTGAATCACTTCTCCCTCCACATCTCTGGCTTGTTCCCCGGCTCTTGTGTGCATAAATAAATAAATCTTTAAAAAAAAATGTAGCACAGCATTCTGAAAAAGCATTTTGTAATCCACAAGTCTATTTATAAATGAAATCAGGCATTCTACTGAAGAGTCTGGCTCCTGGTTAAAAATCTACATGTGATTTTTCAGGCATGGTTATTTTTCAGGTGATTTCCCCAATCTAACTCAGCATTCAGAGCTTTCAACTCCCACTCAGACCCCTTTGCACACCTCATGTTAGAGTCTTTAATTTGGGGCACCCTCAGGGCCTCCCAGATGGCACAAGGATTAAGCATCTGCACTATGAAGCAATCTGCAGCTACTGCAGCACAAGTTCCATCCTCAGCCAGGGAGGTGACCCACAGGGTGCAGCAGACCTCTCCTGTCTCACCCACTGCTCCCCTCAGCAGTGTATTTCAGAGAATCTGCCTGTTCTGCTTCCCACTCTGCACCTCTGGCCTGTATCCCAGTTCTTGTATGCTTAAATAAATCTTTAAAAAAAAAATGGGGGGCCTCCCCTGGTGGCGCAGCGGTTGAGCGCTGGGCTACGAAGCTGCAGCACCGGATCGATCCCCGGCCACCAGTGAGGGTCCCACAGGTGTGCAGACCTCTCCTGCTGCGCCCGCTGCTCCCCTCCAGCAGTGTATTTCGTCAGTCTGCCTGTTCTGTTCCCCGCTCTGGCTCTGGTGAATTTTCTCACCCTCTTCCTTCTGACTGTACCCAGTGCTTGTATAAATAAATAAATCTTTAAAAAAAAATTGGAGGTACCCTCACCAGTGAGATTGGACCTCCATACCTATACAACCAGAGTCAGTTGATTCTAGTACAGAACATGTTTCATGGGGGAAAGTGGAATAGTGGGATCCTATCTTCCTCTGGTTCTCTGGTTTTTCCCTTCTTTCTAATACTATTGGATGAGGAATGAAAGGCTTCTCTGGGACTTTCACTTTGGCTCACTAATGCTTTAATCAGCTACTCCCACACCTAGCAGGATAGCTCCCCAGGTCAGCTGAGCTCCCACATTTATATCAATCTTTTCCACCAGTTCCTAAGTAGACCCAAACACTGTCAGTTTTTTCATGCTATTCAGAAAACAACAAATTATTTCATCACATTAAAGCTAAAACATCTGAATTTGATGTACTGTGAAATGAAACAGGCACATCGAGACAAAACGTGTAAAAATTACATGTACATATATCATTTTTACAAAGTATTGTTCCCAGAATATCCTTACATGAAAACTGTTGTACATTATTAATGTAAATGTTTTAAAAGAAATGAGCAAAGTTTTAATACACATGGACCTATGCTATTGGATGCCACAAACTTGCTTCAGTGTAAAGTGTAAATGTTGCTCATCTAACAGTCACTTTTTTAGCAATTTCTACCATTATGGATCATAGTCAATACTATGGAAGTAGATTAGCTTCAAAACAAATGTCAAAAAAGACCAGGTACTTTAGTGATAGCAGAAGTTTTCAGAACTTCAAATTCAGGGTCTACTGACATTTATTTTTATTTTGCACATAATGTTAATAAGCCAGTGATTTAGTTCCCAAGCTCCTAGAAATTAAAAGCAACAAATAAAACAAAACCCGGTAGCTTAAAAATAAAAACAAGGTGAGAGGAATTAAAACATTCAAAAGAAAAGGGAACTAAAGCAGTATGAGGCCCACAGAAGTATACCAATTGACACTAAAAAAGTGATGATTCTAAGCTATTAAGAGAAACTCAGAAAAGAACACAAAAGTTGTATTCAGGGCCTCCCTGGTGGCACAGTGTTTGAGCACTGGGCTGCGCAGCCTCGCAGCCTGGATTCAATCACAGGCCCCTGGCGAGGGTCCCACATGGCGCGCAGACCTCTCCTGCCATGCCCACTGCTCCCCTCAGCAGTGTAAAAAAAAAAGTTGTATTCATTCTTACTATAGGAGTAGCTAAACTTGTCCATGAAAGAATAGTAACCACTATTTCAACCACCATATAGTGAATTCCTTCACCGCCATTGTTTTCAGAAACCACTAGCTGCAGCAAGGGACTAAGCCAGTACTTCGCATATGGGCGAAAAACCTGGAATTTAAAAGACAAATAACAAAGAATTGTTTAGAATAATCAACATACAAAGTCAGAAACACATTTACATAAAAGTTAACTTTTACAACTCAGCCTAAATCTGAAACAAATGTAAATTCCAACAATTCCTGCTTAATCAGATCAGATTATCTTGAAGTCTCCCTTCATGGTTCAAAAAGCCACTATTCAATAAAAATGGATTTATTACTGATCCTTACCTTTCTAACTATACTTAAAGAAATCAAAACTATTCTATTATCAAACTGTACTATTTGAATAATATGCAGATTTAGAGGTTCTACTCTTATTTTATGCAAATGCACAGAATAAATGAAAAATGAGAATATAAAAAATCAAAAAGATTTATGTGGCTAACTTTCATTCCCTTCTATTCTGAAAGTCATTCTGTTATTGGGCCTCCCTGGTGGCGCAAAGGGTTAAGATGCAACCTGTGAAACTATCCACAGCCACTGCAATACAAGTTCCATCCCTGGCCAGGGAGGTGACCCACATGGCACAGCAGACCTCTCCTGACTTGCCCGCTGCTCCCCTCAGCAATGTATTTCTGTCAATCTGCCTGTTCTATTCCTTACTCTGTCTCTGGTGAATCCTTTCACTCCCCCCACACCTCTGGCCTGTACTCCAGACCTTGTATGCATAAATAAATAAATCAATAAAAAAATTAAAAAATAATAAAAAAAGAAAGTCATTCTGTTATAAACTTCTACGTCCAGGATCTCTGAAATTTAAATAAAATGTATAATGTACTATATTACATTTAATTTATTTTACAAATTGCAATGCAAAAAGACAGACTAAAATGTAGTTCAAGCTATTTACCATCTTAATCTTAGCCAAATTCTCTCTCCTTTTTTTTAAGATTTATTTATATATACAAGAACTGGGGTACAGGCCAGAGGTGGGGGGTGGTGAGAGGACTCACTAGAGACAGAGTGGGGAACAGAACAGTCAGACTGACTGAAATATACTGCTGAGGGGAACAGCGGGCGAGATAGGAGAGGTCTGCTGCACCATGTGGGTAGCTCTGTGGCAGGCCAGGGAGCGAACTTATGCTGCAGTGGCTGCGGATAGCTTCATAGGTTGCATCTTAACCCCTTGCGCCAGCAGGGAGGCCCCCAAATTCTCTTTTATAAAATCACCTTTTTTAATCAAATATATTCTTGGGAATGATCATCTACTCTCACAGCTTAAATTTGTATGGTTTCAGATTTTTTTGATCATGTGAAAAAAGCTGAATACTCTCCATGTATGTTTATAAGCTTATTTATAAATTATAAATATATTTTCTTCTTATTAAAATATAATAGATAAATTTAAAGATTGAAGTTTTAAAAATACAGGTAAATATAATTTCTAATCTTTTCTTCCATGAGACAGTGAATTATCTCAAACATCTTTTGGAAACCACTGCCTTGAACATCCCCAAACTCCAGGGACATCTCCATCAGGTCTTCGGGGCACCTCACATTCACAGCTGGCCTGGCCCAAGAGTCCATAAGTGAATACAATTCAGCATGTCTCCTTGTCAACTTGCATACCCATACCCAGCCTACCACCAAATCAACTCCCCAGAAAACAAGACAGCTGCTCCTTTTTCAGTAGTTACCAACACTTAGAGGAATATGAGCTAGAAATCACATGGTGTCTCAAGTGTTATAGGTTGAACTGTATCACCCCAGACGATGCTGAAGTCCTAACTCCAGTACCTGTGGCTGAGGCCTCATTTAGAACTGGGGTCTTTTAAAGATTATCACATTAAGGATGGTCATTAGGATATGCTCTAATTCAATGACAGTATCGTTATTTAAAGAGACAGTTTGTACATATGAAGACAGTGAAAGGAAAGACAATGTGAAGACTCAAGGAGAATACCACCTATATTTCAAAAAATATCAGAGACCACAAGAAGGTGAGAGGCCTGGAACAGATTCTCCTTCAGAGCCTCCAGAATGGGCCAACCCTATCAAAAACTTGATCTTGGACTTACAGCTATAGAACCAAGAGACAGTAAGTTTTTATTGTTTAAGTCTTCCAGTTTGTTTTGAAGGCCCCAGGAGCTGAAAATCAAGTATGACTCTGAGGAACACTTGACTTGAGTCCTATGTTAGCCCTTCTAACCATCTCCAAACCTTAAACTCCCATTTACAGGGCAGATTAGGAGGACTTTACACAGGGCAATAAGCATCATGTCATTCCTCCCCACTATCAGCAAACGAGCTGGGCCCTTCGTATGGAACCCAATGGTGCCTGGCCCAGCTCAGCTACCCATTGGTCCTATGGCTGTACTACTTGCACCTCTCCTTTGGAAAATGCAATAGTCCATGCAATCAGTACAGAAGACCTGGGCTCTCTCTGAGAGCTAATTCCACTGCTCCTTCTATACAGAATGGAAAAACCCACTGTATGTGCTCTCAAAAATCCACCCTAACCCTAACTGCGGTTGAGGCTCCTCTTTAATGTAGTGTTAGTTGCTGAATTTATCAGTTCTATATTAAAAGAGTCAGCTATCTTTTATAGAGAGGACAGGAATACTTTTACCACTTTCTTTGCTACTGTAAGACAAGAAGGCTGGCAATCATAAGAAAATTGCCAACACATGTACTTTCTACAAAAATTACTTCTAACCCAGTAGAAGTTAATTTATGTATTTTAAAAAGAAAATGATAAAAGAATGATGCTGAACAAGTTAATAAATACAGTTGGCTAATTTATTCTCAGAACAAAAAAGTCATATTTTGTTTCTGTTGCTCCTGGTGCTGCTAGTGTGCTCATTTTGTGGGGAACCTCTTTTATTAAGTGGCAGTTGAGGAGATTTCAGCACTTGCCATGGTTGACAAAAAGCCCATGGAAAGAGTTAAGACTTAGAAAAATGATCATCTTAATAAGAAGTGGCAGGTCAAGAGGGTTCTGTGGTGCAATGAAGATTTAGAAGCATATGCCACTTAGTAAGCTGATGAAAGCATATTTTAAAGGACAGCGTTTGTCAATGAGTCAGATCGAATTCTGATTTGAGGGGCAACCAATCAAAGAAACAGACAGACATGCACAGCTGGAAACTGAGAATGAAGATAATAATGATGTGTCCAGCATGAGACAGAAGGTGTCTACTAGAAATGATACCTGCTACTTTACTCCAGAACTCTGTTCCTCCAGACTAAGATGACATTCTCAATTAGAAAACAGAAACTGGTTCCACCACACCCTGATTACTGCAGTACAGTTTTATCTAGACTTTTATTCTCCTATTCCACATTCTTTTATTGCACATAAAGTAAGTAGTGTATGTGCACAAGCATACTACATTATTTAAAATTGAATGGTATGTTCTGATCTACATCAAATGAAGATGGGGGGGGGGAAATACCAGTTCTGTGAAAGTACCATCTTTCTCCATTAGTGGCATGCTCATTCAGTTCTTGTTTTTCTAAGAGTAAGTTATTTTGTTCTCAGTGTTTAACAACAACAACAACAACAAAAACAACATAAAAATTCTTGCATACTTAGTTTGATCAAAGAATTTTAAATGTTATTCAATTATCCTTTTAAACCTAAGGATAATTTATAACTTTTTTTACACAGGTATTCATATGTACTGCAATCTGTATTTAAGTAAGGATAAATTACTTGAAATAAATCCGAAATCGTTTTTGCTTCAAGTAAAGCATCTTGTTTAAACAAACATTGATTTTTTTAAAAATGTCATGTTCTGTCCCTTACATCTTTCTTCATTGGGTTTCTTTTTTAAGTAGATACATACAATTGCAAAGAATTTTAAAGAAATATTTCATTACTTACTTCTTCTGTATTAATAATAAGCTTGGCTAAGAAGAGACGGATATTTAATGATACTGACGGATTTCCTAATTTGTTTTGAAGAAATTTCATCCAAAGGGGCAGATTTCCTGGCACTGAACCCTGAAAAGATATACTCAAAATTACCCTTAAAAAGGGGAATAAAGTAACTCCATATCTGATATTACAAGACACCAATGATAAAGTAAAGCACAAGTCTTTGATTCTTCATATTACACCAATGAATAGTATTAAGTGAGACAATGAAAATTAGCAAACAAACAAACAAAAAAACCCAAAAACCTCTTCTCCTTTTGGCAGGATGTGACTTCTCTGCATGTGCTTAATCAGCATAGTCATGGTGGCCATACACTCGTGTTGATTGAGTTCATCCATCTCTAACTCCAGGATGTCATCTGGCATCATGGGGTTCTTAGAATGTTCCTAGGAAAAGCAATGATGTGGAGTCGACTGCTAAAATTTCAGTGTATAAGAAACTCTGATTGGGAAATACTGTGAAACACTAACTTAGATGACAATAATAATTCAGTAGTAATATCAAACACCATTAGTATGTTTTCTTATTAAATAACTAAAAAATAAACAGGACCTCATGTTGTCCTTACATTCTATGCACATATCTCCATGCATGGTCACTCCCATGGGGACAATGTGCTGCTTTGTGTAGACACAAACATCTTTCAAATAGGTGTACTTAGACTCCTCAACACATTGACAGCAGGTCTCCATGACACTTAGTTGCCACTTTATGGAGAAAGTGGAACTATGGAAGAATAATTACAGGATAAATTTTTCATACTTTTCTTTCCATTAATCTGGAAAACTCTGTAACGTTCCACATTTGCCTTGAAATTTTAACCAGTAATGTAACAAAACTTTTAAACCACACTTGATGCTAAAATTTTCTGAGAAAACACAGGTGATAACACACAAGTGTGTGTACATGTATATAGGGCTGCAGAATTTTTTTTTTTTTTCTTAACACAGATCACCTCCCAAAAGGTTCAGAAATCCAGAGTAGAAATTTCTGGAAAATTAAAAGTCAACATGAGGCATATGCAGACATTAAGTAGAAAAAGCAAAAAAAAAATGGTCCCATAGAAATGCAAACCAAAACCACAATGAAATACCATCTCACACAGGTGAGAATGGTACATATTTAAAAAAAAAACTAGAAGAACAAATGCTGGTGAGGATATGGAGAAAAAGAAACAATCTTATACTGCTGGTGGGAATGCAAACTGGTCCAACCACTCTGGAAAGCTGTGTGGAGGTTCCTCAGTCTACTAAAAATGGAGCTACCATATGATTCAGTAATTCCACTCCTAAGGATCTACCCAAAGGACACAAAAACATTAACTCAAAAGGAAACCTTCACTCCCCTGTTTACTGTAGCACTATTCACAATAGCTAAGATAGGGAAACAACTTAAATGCCAAATAACAGATGAATGAATCAAGAAGATGTAGTATATACACACAATGGAGAACTTATTCAGCAATCAAAAAAGATAAACTCATGCTATTTGCAGCAACATGGATGGAGCTGGAAGGGATTATGATCAGTGAAATAAGTCAGCAGGAGAAAGAAAAATACTGGATGGTTTCACTTACAGGAGAAATACAGGAAAACCAAACAAAGGATCAAGAAAAAAGACAAACCAAGCAAATCAAAGATCCAAGACATACAGTAGGGGAAGGGAAGGGGGAGGGGTGAAAACAAAGGAGGGGGTTCTCCCAGGTAGTCTAGGATATAAGTGTCAGCACTATAACTGCTATAAGCTGAGTTTTATCCCCGGACTGGGAGCAAATCCACATAGTGCAGTAGACCTCTTCTGTCTTGCCCACTACTCCCCTAAGCACTGTATTTCAGTAGATCTACCTGTTCTGCTCCCCACTCTGTCTCTGGTGAATTCTTTCACCCTTGCCTGCCGCACCTCTGGCCTACTACACACACACACACACAGACACACACACACGCGCAAAGGTGAAAAAAAAAAAAAAAAAAAAAAACCCACGGCCTCCCTGGTGGAGCAAGGGGTTAAGATGCAACCTATGAAGCTATCTGCAGCCACTGCAGCACGAGTTGGATCCCCAGCCAGTGAACTGCCCACTTGGTGCAGTAGACCTCTCATGACTCCCCCACTGCTCCCTTCAGCAGTATATTTCAGTACCCTTGCCTGTTCTGCTCCCCACTCTGTCTTTGGTGAGTTCTCTCACCCCCTGCATCTGTCTGTACCCCAGCTCTTGTATGCATAAATAAATATATCTTTAAGCTTTTGTATGCATAAATAAATAAATCTTTAAGATATATTTATTTATGCATACAAGAAGTGGATTGTAGACCAGAGGTGTGTGTGTTGGGGGGGGGGGGAGGGCAGTGAGAGGATTCACCAGAGACAGAGTGGGGAACAAAACAGGCAGATTGACCAAAATACACTGCTTGAGGGGAGCAGCAGGAGAGACAGGAGAGGTCTGCTGCACCAGGTGGGTCACCTCCCTGGCTGGGGACCAACTTGTGCTGCAGTGGCTGTGGATAGCTTCACTGTGCTGTGTCTCCACCACTCGTGCCACCAGGGAGGCCCCAATTAAAAAATATTAAAAAAAAAAAAAAAAAAGCAGGAGGGAAAAGCATAAGGACTATGGTGACTGTTCATGTAATAATGAGGAACATTTATAGGGATTACAAACCTGAGGGGAGAAATCAAATACTGTACAGAAATGAACAACGATGTAAAAATATTAATGGACAAGAGCAAGATCAACAGAAGCTAAAAAAGTGTGAGATGCAGGTAAAATTTAGTAAAGGAACACAAGGAGCAGTACTGCTGGAACTGCTGGAACCCAAAAAGAAAAAGACTGTCTACCTGTAAAAATAATAAACTATTCCATATTCTATGCCTTTGTAACCAAGAATTTATTCTTTAAGAATTAAGCTACATAAGCTTTGGAAACAACCCAAATGCCCAAAAATAGATGACTGGATCAAGAAGATGTGGTACATATATACCATGGAATATTACTCAGCATTCAAAAAAGATAAACACATGCAATTTGCAGCAACATGGATGGCGCTGGAAGGGATCATGCTCAGCGAAATAAGCCAAAAAGAAAAAGAAAAATACCGGATGGTCTCACTCATAGCAGGAATCTAGAAAACTTAAATAAGGGACCAGGAAAATGAATATAAGAAAGTGAAAATCAAAATCAACAAAAAACTATGAACCAGAGACACTTTTTGGGGGGTGGGGGGCGGGAGGGGAAGGATTGGGGTCAGAATGGGGCATTTGCAATTGTATGGGGGAATATAAAAATAAAATTTATATTTTAAAAATAAATAAATAAATAAATAAATAAAAAATAAAAAATGAATGTAGGAAAAAAAAAAAAAAAAGAATTAAGCTACAGGGCCTTCCTGGTGGCGCATGGATTAAAGACAGCACCATCAAGCTATCGCCAGCCACTGCAGCATGAGTTCGACCCCCAGCCCACCGGGGAGCTACCCACATGGCAAAGCAGACCTCACCAGACTCGCCTGCTGCTCCCCTCAGCAGTGTATTTCAGTAGATCTGCCTGCTCTGCACCTCACCCTCTCTGGTGAATCCTCTCACCCCCCACACCTCTGACTTAGTGAACATGAACTCATTCATTCATCATGGTTTGATAATATCAAATATTTGAACAGCAACTTCATTTTCTCCAAAGAAAAATCACAAATCCTACCAGCACAAGCACCTGAGTTTTCATGGTATAATCATCTTTCTTTTTTTAAAATTTCATATGATTTATTTATTTATTTCAAAGATTTATTTATTTATTTGTTTATTTATTTATTTATTTATGCAAGCACTGGGTACAGTCAGAGGCGCAGGAGGGTGAGAGAATTCACCAGAGCCAGAGGGGAGAGCAGAGCAGGCAGAATGACGAAGTACACTGCTGAGGGGAGCAGCGGGCAGCAGGAGAGGTCTGCGTGCCATGTGGGACCCTCCTCCAGTGGCTGGGTAGCAGCCGGGAATGGAACCGGCGCTGCAGAGGCTGCAGGCAGCTTTGCAACCCAGCGCTCAACTGCTGTGCCACCGCCACCGGGGAGGCCCTGCCAGAATCATCTTTCTTAATGGAAATCCATAAACGTGGTTCTGATTTCGACTGGTCTCAGAAACTGGCTCAAGTGAAGCTGCCATTAGAAAGAGCCTTCCTTCCTATGCTAATGAAATGTAAACCGCTCAATCTATGGGATGAAAGGCTGGAATTCAGATTGTGGAAAAGTCTCCAGATGAAGTTGTCCTCTAAGGACCATTGACAAAGAACTGATGTCCTTCCTTCCCTATACCAACAATATTAATATATGAAATGTGATCACCTGTTTCCGAAAATAGCGAGTGCTAGGTTTAGTGTCTTCAGAACTGTAGGAATAGCTCTGAACTCCAGTTGAAAAATCAAATTGGCTCATTTCTTCACTCAGACTACTGTCTGCCAAAGTTGACAAGGAGGATATGTAATGAGGACCGTCTGAAATAAAAAGAAAATACATTTATTTACACATAGTAAGAAATGTATATATGTTCAAATGATATTAAAATTAAAGGATACTTTTTTTTAACATGTCTTTTTTTTTTTTTTAAGATTTATTTATTTATACAAGCACTGGGTACAGTCAGAAGCGCGGGAGGGTGAAGAAAATTCACCAGAGCCAGAGCGGGGAGCAGAACAGGCAGAAGGACCGAGGTACACTGCGGAGGGGAGCAGCGGGCGGCAGGAGAGTTCTGCACGCCATGTGGGACCCTCTTCCGGTGGCCGGGGAGCAGCCGGGGATCGGACCGGCACTGCAGAGGCTGCGGGCAGCTTCGCAACCCAGCACTCAACCACTGCGCCACCGGGGAGGCCCTTAAAGGATACTTTTAACTAAGGCTTGTGTTGATCCTGTGATGCTCAATTTGTTACCTAGATTAAAAAAAAAAAAAAAAAAAAAAAAAGGAAAATGGGGAAACACCTCTTCTTGCTTTTGTCATTACTGAGCAGTTATTCCTTATTGTCATGGATGAAGACAATAAGTGAAACCAGACCCAATTGTGTTTATTCTCAAATCAAGAAATGATGATAAAAATTAAGAACTATTAAGCAGGGCCTCCCCGGTGGCGCAGCGGTTGAGCGCTGGGTTGTGAAGCTGCCCGCAGCCTCTGCAGTGCCGGTTCGATCCCCGGCTGCTCCCCGGCCACCGGAGGAGGATCCCGCATGGCGCGCAGACCTCTCCTGCCGCCCGCTGCTCCCCTCAGCAGTGTACTTCGGTCCTTCTGCCTGCTCCGCTCCCCGCTCTGGCTCTGGTGAATTCTCTCACCCTCCCGCGCGCTTCTGACTGTACCCAGTGCTTGTATGTATAAATAAATAAATAAAGATGGAATTTCAAAATACTTTAAAAAAAAAAAAAAGAACTATTAAGCAAAAAAACTGGAACAAGAAACACATAGAGGGAGTAAGGATTAATTTTTAAAAGGAGGCCAATATGAACATCCTTCAAGTGTTGACATAAAACAAAATTTCAGGAGCCAAGGTTATTCTGGCAGGAATATCACAAGCAAATGCCCTGGGGAAGGAGTAATCCCTACAGGCATTGGTAGGAGCTGCTAGTGGGGCATGAGCTAGAATCAAAGTAGCAGGGCAGTACTGGGCAGGTCAAGGGCAGCTCTATCCTCAGGAGTCCATGGGAGATTTAGAACTGAGGATGATGGCAGTATGGGACTTATATTTTAACACAGATTTCTGAATATAAATATCTACAAACATAGCCATTATACAAACAAATAACAAACCAATCTTGCATTTTAAAAACAAAGTATACTATGTTTGATCCTCCTTTGGTCACTTTCAGATCTTTATATACAGTTAAAGTTTAGCTAATTGCACATCCTTCAAAATACAACAGTTTTTTACCATTTTTAAATGAAAATTGCAAGTTTCACGTTTTGAGGTATTTAAAATATTTTCTACTCATATAACAAATACCAACAATTAAAATCTATCTCATCATTTAGAAAATGTCCTACCTGGATCTGCATTTGTAGCTTCCCTGGCTTCTTTCCTAATATCAATGTATTTTTTCTTTCTTTCCATAGGAACCTATTTGACAAAACAAACACACAATTTATTTATTTTTTTTTAAATAATAAATTTTATTTTTATATTCCCCACACAATTGCAACCCCCCATTCTGACCCCAATCTCTCCCTCCCACCCCCCACCCCACAAAAAGTGTCTCTGGTTCATAGTTTTTTGTTGATTTTGATTTTCACTTTCTTATAGTTATTCATTTTCCTGGTCCCTTATTTAAGTTTTCTAGATTCCTGCGATGAGTGAGACCATCCGGTATTTTTCTTTTTCTTTCTGGCTTATTTTCCTGAGCATGATCCCTTCCAGCTCCATCCATGTTGCTGCAAATTGCATGTGTTTATCTTTTTTGAATGCTGAGTAATATTCCATGGTATATGTGTACCACATCTTCTTGATCCAGTCATCTATTTTTGGGCATTTGGGCTGTTTCCAAAGCTTAGCTATTGTAAATAGTGCTGCTATAAACATAGGGGTGCAGGTGTTCTTTGGAATTGATGTTTCTGTGTCCTTTGGGTAAATACCTAGGAGTGGAATTGCTGGATCATATGGAAGCTCTATTTTTAGTAGGTCCAGAAATCTCCACACAGCTCTCCATAGTGGTTGGACCAGTTTGCACTCCCACCAACAGTGCAGAAGAGTTCCTTTTTCTCCACACCTCGCCAACATTGTGTTGTGCTAGTTTTTTTTTAATATGGGCCATTCTCACTGGTGTAAGATGGTATCTCATGGTAGTTTTGATTTGCATTTCCCTGATTACAAGTGATGTTGAACATTTTTTCAGATGCCTGTTGGCCATTTGCATTTCTTCTTCAGAGAAGTTTCTTTTTAGCTCTTCTGCCCATTTTTTGACTGGATTATTTTCTTTGTTGTTGTTGAGTCTCATCAGCTCTTTGCAGATTTTTGTGATCAGTCCTTTATCATTAGTGTTGTGTGCAAAAATGTTCTCCCAGTTGGTGGGGTTTCTCTTTGTTTTGGTTATTGTCTCTTTTGCTGTGCAGAAGCTCTTTAATTTGATGTAGTCCCAGCTGTTGATCTTTGCCTTCACTATCATTGCTTTGGGTGATGTGTCTGTAAAGATATCTTTGATGTGCAAATCACGTAGTGTTTCGCCTATATTTCCTTCTATGTATTTTATGGTTTCAGGTCTTATGTCTAGTTCTTTAATCCATTTTGAGTTGATTTTTGTGTATGGTGTGAGGTAGTGGTCAAGCTTCATTCTTTTGCATGTAGCGACCCAGTTTTCCCAGCACCATTTATTGAACAAACTTTCTTTGCTCCAATGCATAGTCTTTGCTCCTTTGTCAAAGATTAGTTGACCATAAATCTGTGGGTTTATTTCTGGATTTTCTATTCGATTCCATTGGTCTGTATGTCTGTTCTTGTTCCAATACCATGCAGTTTTGATGATTATGGCTTTGTAGTATAGTTTGAAGTCTGGGAGTGTGATGCCTCCATTCCCTTCTTTTTTTTTCAGGAAAGCTTTGGCTATTAGGGATTTTTTGTGATTCCATATGAATTTCATCAATAATTGTTCTATTTCTTTGAAGAATGACATAGAGATTTTGATTGGAATAGCATTGAATCTGTATATTGCTTTTGGTAGGATGGCCATTTTAATAATGTTTATTCTTCCAATCCATGAGCAGGGGACGTCTTTCCATTTCTTTGTGTCTTCTTCTATTTCTTTTAACAGTGTTTTATAGTTTTCTTTGTATAGGTCCTTTACCTCTTTTGTTAGATTTATTCCCAAATATTTGATTTTTTTGTTTCGATAATAAAAGGGATGGTTTTTTTTATTTCTTCTTCTTCAGATTTATTGTTTGTGTATAGGAAGGCTACTGACTTTTGCGTGTTGATTTTGTATTCTGCCACTTTGCTGAACTGATTGATGAGTTGAATTAGTTTTTCTGTGGAGTTTTTGGGGTTCTCTATGTACATTATCATATCATCTGCAAATAGTGATAGTTTGACTTCTTCTTTTCCTATTTTGATTCCTTGTATGTCTTTCTCTTGTCTTATTGCTCTGGCTAAGCCTTCCAGTATTATATTGAAAAGCGGTGGTGAGAGGGCTTCTGCACAGCAAAAGAGACAATAACAAAAACAAAGAGAAACCCCACCAACTGGGAGAACATTTTTGCACACAACACTAATGATAGAGGACTAATCACAAAAATCTGCAAAGAGCTGATGAGACTCAACAACAACAAACTTAAATAAGGGACCAGGAAAATGAATAACTATAAGAAAGTGAAAATCAAAATCAACAAAAAACTATGAATCAGAGACAAATATTTGGGAATAAATCTAACAAAAGAGGTAAAGGACCTATACAAAGAAAACTATAAAACACTGTTAAAAGAAATAGAAGAAGACACAAAGAAATGGAAAGACGTCCCCTGCTCATGGATTGGAAGAATAAACATTATTAAAATGGCCATCCTACCAAAAGCAATATACAGATTCAATGCTATTCCAATCAAAATCTCTATGTCATTCTTCAAAGAAATAGAACAATTATTGATGAAATTCATATGGAATCACAAAAAACCCCGAATAGCCAAAGCTTTCCTGAAAAAAAAGAAGGGAATGGAGGCATCACACTCCCAGACTTCAAACTATACTACAAAAATTGACTCTTGAGTACATTTTAACTGCTCCCTGATTGCTCATCTATATTTTAAGCCTAATGAATTTATTAATATTTGTGTGAAGTTACTTATGCTATGAGGCCATTCAGAACATCTTCTTTTAGAATTAAGAATAGTTTTCTTTTTTCCTTTCTCTTAAAATATTTTCTTTCATTTTGGTTTCAAACTGAAATCTCTTCCATTTCTACCTGACACTAAAGCCCAGGGCTCAATGACAAAACACATTAGTAATGTCAGACAGGGCCACCGCGGGGGACTAGAGGTTAAGTCTCAGTGCTCCCACCTGGAAGGCCCACCACAACAGCCTGAGTTTGATCCCCAGCCAGGGAGCTAACCCACATAGTGCAGCAGACCTCTCCTGTTTGCCTGCTATTCCCCTCAGCAGTGTATTTCAGTCAATCTACCTGTTCTGCCTCCCACTCTATGGTGACTCCTCTTACCACCCCCTACTTCTGGCCCACACCCCCATTCTTCTGCACAAAAATAAATAAAATATATTTTTTTTAAAAAGTAATGTTAGACAGCATTTTCTATTTTTTTCTTGGAGGAGTTGATATACAACGATAGTTCAGCAATACAATAAAGACATGTATTAAAAATAAATCACATGTGATTTCACTTGTATGAAAGAGAGAGAAACAAAACACAGGAAAAGACAAAACTAAACTTAAAAAAATCCTCAAAATCTGACTGCATAATTGTGGCTACCAGAAGTATAAGTGGGAAGTGGGAGCAAAGAGGGGAGGGGGCCCACTGGACAGTGGATGACAGGTATCTGTGGTGGGTATGGTAACACTCATCTATACCTCTGGATCATCTACAGTGTTGGAAACCAAAGTCTCCTCAATTAAAACCAAAGTTTCTAAAGAAAGGATGAGAGAAAATAAAATAAAATGGAAAACATTGGCTATAAATCAGTAACAAATATAAATTAAAACTTTCTACAATCATGGTCAGATGGTCTCTATTTTAGTAGAAATCTGGAAAAAAAAATATTAATATTTAAACAAAACTTTTGTCAAATTTAAAAGCATCCAAAAATATCCACAATGACAGACAAATAGCCATAAGAAAAGTTTTTCCTATATATCCCCACAGAGGTCACTCATTATAGTGTATATCAAATTCTTAAAAACTACAGGCCTGGATTACCGATTTGTACTTGATCTGTAACCCTTAGTTTCTTCAACTATTATGATATATCATTGCACCATAATACGTTGTAAAGCTTAGGCATAACATACAGTGTCTGATCTTAATTAATCTAGTGCTATTATTTTTCTGTTTTCAGTTCTTTGAACACATGCCTAGAAAAAAGTTTCCCATCTTGTACCAAAATAGCACAAGGTAGGAAGCAACAACATAAGTGACTCATGACGCACCAACATGTTCAGGTCACTGCTGTGCAGGAGAACGTGAATGAAGCTCCAGGCCTCAGCTCTGGGCTACAGGCCATGCTGTGTGAGCTCTGTACTTTGCCCCACTTCCAGGGGCTATGAAAAGACCATAGCCATACCTTCACAACAATTTCTGAGGCTGGCACATCAAACTTAACTTGGCTAAAATCAAGCTCATCACATTTGCTAGAATGAGATTCCCAATTACCAGTTTCCCTAGCTATCTGAAAGTAGACCATTCTTACATGGTAGGTTATTTTTGGAATCTGGGAATGCTATTAACATTAACTTACATGGAAAAATTGTTGAGCATTCTCAGATCCCAAAAATAACCTACTAAATCATAACAAACAGGAATATACTGCTTTTGGATAGCAGGGAAAACCTATATCTGTAACTTTTGCCTACACATCTGCATTAAGCTGTCAAATGACCCAAGCAGGATCGCAGGGTCATTGAGTATATATCTCAATTTCATTGACAGAGGAATTTACTCAGAAAATAACATTTAGGATAAGTCCTAACTGCTCCTTTTGTGGAATTTTCTTTCCTTTACAAGTGAAGAGGTGGAAAAATTGAGTTACAATGAATTTTTGTACTTACCTGAGATTGTATCTCAGGTTGAACGATGTGAAACTGCCATTTTTTGTAGTTCAAAGTAGACTTGAATATTAGAAACTTGATATGTTTAGTATGTTTTTTCTATAAAAATCTGGTATTTTTAACTTAGTAACACCATTGAAAAAAATTCACTTACCTCAACTTCTATAGGAAATGTATAGCAGCGCTTCAGGTCTATCAGATTTTCAAAAATAAACAAGTTCTGTAAATCCAAAGAATCATAAAAATATCTGAATATCAGAGATGTTTATTGCTGATACTACTAGAGAATTAATGCTACTTATTTTTCATCGAGAAACATTTTAGTTTTAAATAAATACATGCAGAACTAAAAAGAACCATATCTTCAGTATTATAAGGTACAAATTATAACTGTAACTGACATAATCTAACTTTTGAAATGGCACAATGACAGCAATAGTGAACCCTTGAGAACAGACCTACCTTTTCTGGTTTTTCACTAAAAAGAAAACCTTGGTAGAATTTTAATTCATTGAAGACACAGCAGATAACAGAAATGGCACAGTTGTATGCAGCACAATGGTAAAGTCTTCTCCTCTCCAGCAACTGAGTCTCACCTGCCATGTTCTCTGTAAATGCATCATAGCACAGTCTGCAGAGTGGATCCAGGTTGAAAATTAATTCATCTAATAGGGAAATCATTACTCAAACCCAACAATGCCAGACAATGGGATCTCAATTGAGTTTTCTCTGAGGATTAGCTTTGTGCCTAGCACAGGATTAGGCAAACGGGAATAGAAAGGGGAGCATGTCACTGTACCGATGCACAGCTCTAAGGGAAAGCAGCATCTATGGATGCTACCACACAGTGGTAACAGCAACAGTGAAAACACATAGGGATGGAAGGAAAGGGGAAAGACAGTAGCCTAGTCTAAGAAGCCAACAAAGTTTTTAAGAGAAAATAACTTAATTTTGAATTTTAAGTTAGCCAAAGGGAAAATGTCTGTAGCATTACAAGCAGAAAGGAGCCCTTATAATTAAGTATAAAATGCATGGTGTGTTCAGAGGATGATGTGGGAAGCAGCAGTGGCAGGCAGTGAAAGATGGGTAGGGGATATTCCTAGACAGTCTGCCTGCTATAATGAAGCACCTGGCTTCACTCTGTAGAATAGGGTCCCCCAAACCATGTCTCCCAGTGGTCATCTGTTATTCAATATAGTTTTCTCAGAACACAATCATGGAGTAGTTGCAACAGAGCCCATCTGGCCACAAAAGTTAAAAATAGTATATAGGAAAGGTTTGCCAACCCTGTTACTGAAGATGAGTTTCCTTTGAAGGGTTTTAGGCAAGGAGAAACAGTCATGTTCCTATTACAGATGTGTTATCATTCTGACAGCAGTGTAAACAGAACTGAGAGAGACAAACTTGGGAGAAAAGAGATTAACTGTGCAGGGGACCAATACAATGGGTCACAACAGGCTATAATGAGGGTAACAAAATAAGGTGCTGATTTCTGGAGCACCGAGGAGACAAAATCTGCCCAAGCTGAAGACTGACAGGTTGTGTGTGGAAGATGGAGGGAGATGGAAAAAGAACAAATGTGACTCCGAAGTCTTTCGTTTATGTAAATAATGTAGGTAGTGAGATCATCTGCTGATGATGTAAAACAAGAATTAGGGTAAGAGGAAAGTAATAAGTTTGCTATGGAGATGCAAAATGAAACACAGCAATGCCTGTATTCAATATTTACTATGAAGGAACTTCATTAGAAGACTAGTTTTATGGAAAATGTATTTGATTCCTTTATGTCTTATAAAACATCTGCTTACAAATATTTAATACTCCTTTAATTTCCAATGGCAGTCAGAAAAAGCTAAGTACACTAAGCCCCTTCTTACTGTAAATCATACCACTAAAAATACATTAAGCTAATATGAAGAAAATAGTAAAAAAACAGTTAACAAGAAAAGAATTTTATTCTTTACAAAATATAACTATAAGATAAAATGACCCAATACCATTCTAAGTTCATCTAAGTAATTTTTACATAAGAAAAAAAAGAAAAACATAAAAATTCAGTATTTAAATAAACATAAACATTCACATTTTATACATGCATAAAATATAAAATATGCATAAAATGTAAGTATCAAAATATTAACAAGTTAAATATCAAATTAACCAAAAATCTTACTTAATAAGTGTCTTTGTAAGTTCACTTCCTTCTGTAACACTTGAGCCATGGAAAACTTGATTAATTTTAGATTCCTTAGAGTGAACTTCATCTTTTGGAAGACGAGAATATATCACCTCTAGCATCTTATAATAGCCCATCTTCTTGGTGATTTGAGTATCAAAGGTAGATTCACTTAGCTAAGAAAAAGTACAAATGATTGTCTTTGGTCTTATCAAATATGAAAAATATTTTATTGTTGATAGCAAATTTAATATTCAATGACCTTCATATAGAAAATATTTTTAACATAGTTGCCGAATCACTTTAATAAGAGATAGCCCAGGGCCTCCCCGGTGGCGCAGCGGTTGAGCGCTGGGTTGTGAAGCTTCCCGCAGCCTCTGCAGCGCCAGTTTGATCCCCGGCCACAGGGCGAGGGTCCCACATGGCACGCAAACCTCTCCTGCCACCCGCTGCTCCCCTCAGCAGGATACTTCGGTCCGTCTGCCTGCTCTGCTCCCCGCTCTGGCTCTGGTGAATTCTCTAACCCTCCCGTACTTCTGACTGTACCCTGTACCCAGTGCTTGTATAAATAAATAAATAAATCTTTAAAAAAAAAAAAAAAAAAGAGATAGCCCATTTGTCTAGGGTCTAGAATGTGGATCTAAGTATTGATGTGTCCAGCAAATAACACCTGATGTCCAAAATAGGGAGTTAAGAGTATGTGATTTTTTTTTTTTTATAGAGAGGCATGTTTTATTTTTATTTATTTGTTTGTTTGCTTGTTCGTTTATACATGCACTGGGTACAGTCAGAAGCGCGGGAGGGTGAGAGAATTCACCAGAGCCAGAGCAAGGAGCAGAGCAGGCAGAAGGACCGAAGTACACTGCTGAGGGGAGCAGCGGGCGGCAGGAGAGGTCTGCGCGCCATGTGGGACCCTCCTCTGGTGGCAGGGGAGCAGCCGGGGATCGAACTGGTGCCGCAGAGGCTGCGGGCAGCTTCGCAACCCAGCGCTCAACCGCTGCGCCACCGGGGAGGCCCAAGAGTATGTGATTTTTGCACAAATCTCATTGAAGTCATGAAAATAAAAGATGAAATTCAGTATGTTAAAAAACAAAATTTTCAATAATGCTGAAGTCTACATTAGCAATGTTCCATTTGCTGTACACAAATGAAAGAGCAAAAATGTAACTCCCAAAATTAAAATAAAAACTAAAAAAAAAAACCCAAACTGTTACATTTAAATATTTATAATATTTCTGAACATCATTCTGTGAGAGGGTAAGTGTCTCCTGTGTCCCCAACCTTTCAAATATATCTACATTTCAATCCCTGGAACATGTGAATGTATCCTTATAAGGCAAAAAAGGACTTTGCATATGTAATTAAGGATCTTGAGAATAATAATTCTGGATTATTCATGTAGGCCCTAAATGAAAGCACATGTAACCTTATGAAAGGGACGTAGGAGATTTGATAGACAGGAAAAGGCAATGTGATGACAGAGGCAGAGAGAATAGAATGATGTAATACCAAGTTATGGAAATGCCATCAGTAGCCAGAAGCTGAAAGAGGAGAGATATGAATCCTCAGAGATGCTGAGGCGAATATGGCACCAGTAAGATCTTGATTTCAGCCCATCGAAACTAATTTTGTACTTCTAGTCTCCAAAGTTGTGAGAGAATAAATTTCTGTTGTTTTAAGCCTTTAAACTTTGTTACATCAGATTCAGAAAACTAATACACATTTTTGTATTAAGAACTATAACAAATGCCAAAAGTATGAAAATGGCTTTGAAATTTGATGATGGAAGGAGGCCAATAGATAACTGCAGAGGATGACAGAAAGGCTTGCATTTACTTAAAGAAATTTGGGGAAATATCAACATTAAAGGCAGTGCTGGTGAGGGCTTAGGAGGAAGTGAGGAACATGGGAGAGAAAGTCAGTATTGTCTTGAAGAACATCTCCATCACCGTAAATATATTTTAATAAAAATATGGATTTTAAAGTAGTTGCCAGAGAAGTCTCAGAAGGAAGTAAGGAAGATATATTTTGAAACTGGAGGAAAGGAGATTCTTGTTAGATATTGGCAGAAAACTTAGTAGAATTCTGTCCTACAATTAGTTGTGTAGAAAGCAGAACTTATAAACTATGTGCCTGAACAATGAGCCAAAATAAGATTTATAAGCAAATATGTTGAAGGTACTGCCTGGTTACTTCTTTGCTACTTATTGCAAAATGTGAGGTACAAGAAATAAATTGAGCTTAAGAACTGTTAAGCAAAAGAAACCAGGAACTTGATGACTGGGGAAATTGACAGTCTCTCCAAATTGTAAAAGATGCTAACATAGGAAATTCACTATTAGGAAAGTGTGCTCTGGAGAGATCAACAGTGTGGTTGGGCAATGTTTAGCTAGTCCTGAAGAAATTAAGCATGTGACTCATGGATGCCCTTAACCGTTTCAGCAGAAATTAGAAATAGAGATGGAATTATCCCCAAAATATTTGTGACAGACTCTGATTTAATGGAGTAGATCTCCAAGACATACATAGGCAAGTCATAAGGTTTTTGAGAATGTGTTACCATAAAGACATACTACCAGCTTTGACTGAAAGGGACAGAGACAAGGTGAATTAAAAATAAAACCTTTGTAGTCCCAAAACTCTATAGGCACACAAGACTGATAAAATGACTCAATTGAAAACACATGCTACCCTTCAAGAAAAAAGAAAAATTACTCCTACAGTAGTCCTGGGTCCAGAAAGTGGAATAACTAGATAAACTCTCAGGCATCAAAACAGTGGAATTTGCCTGGCTAGAGGTTAAAATTTCTTTGGAACACTAATTTCTTCTATAGTCTCTGTTTTGAAATAGGAGTATCTTTTATTGCCATCATATACCTGTCTCACAACTATATTTTGGAACTAGATAATTGGAACTAGATAATTTTTCTAGTTTTAGAGATCCATAAATGGAGAGAATTTTGCTCCAAGATGAAAATACCAGAATTCCACCCATATCTAATTTATATGAAGAGATCTGGGACTTCTGAGCTAATGATACTTAGGTGAGAATTTGGAACTAAAAGTTGATGCCATAATGAGTTTAGATTTGGGGGGATGCTAAAATAGGGTTAAAATATATTTTGCAAGTGGAAACATTTAAGGGCAGGCAGATTGTATTAGTCTGAATAATAGTGTCTAAAAGATATCCATGTTCCAACCCCTAGAATCTGCAAGTATTACCGTATAAGACCAAAAAAATTGGGCCTCCCCTGGTGGTGCAGAGGTTGAACACTGAGCTGCGAAGCTGCCTGCAGCCTCTGCAGCACCGGTTCGATCCCCAGCCGCCGGTGAGGGTCCCACATGGCGTGACAGACCTCTCTGCCGTGCCCCCTGCTCCCCTCAGCAGTGTATTTCGTCACTCTGCCTGCTCTGCTCCCTGCTCTGGCTCTGGTGAATTCTCTAACCCTCCTGCGCTTCTGACTATACCCAGTGCTTGTATAAATAAATAAATAAATAAATCTTTAAAAAAAAAATCCTACATATAACATTAAATTAAGGATCCTAGGATGGGTAGTTTATCCAAGTGAGTCATAAATGGAGTCATATAAGCTCATGAGAGGGAGCTGGAGTAGACAGAAGAAGCAGCAATGTGACCACAGAAACACTGGTCAGAGAGAGAGATGCAGCCACAAGCTAGGAGGCAAGGAATAGATTTTCTCCTAAAGCCTCTAGAACATGGGCGGCCATGGCAATACTTTAATTTCAGTCCAGTAAAACTGATCTCATTTATGGCCTACAGACCTGTAAGAGAATAAATGTATGTTGTTCCAAGGCATAATTTTGCTAATTCATTATAGCAGCCTCAGGAAACAAATGTACCCATAGGCTGTGATAAAATGTAGACATAACCTTCCTTCAGCAATAGAGAGCACTGGACTAAACACATGATAGTTTCTCATTGGTCAAAAAGACCTGTCAATTCTTATTAATATTTAATTTAACAATAGATGTAAAATACCTTTAAAAATCTGGACTTCAACTCATCAATGGCATTCACCACAATTTTGCCAAAAAATTCTCTCAAAGCGTTCAGGCTACAGTGACACAACAGAGTGAGAAGACAACGATCTACAAATGCTTGGCGGGTGATATTTGAAAGTAGGTCATCCCTCCTGAACATTCTGTACACACTTTCCAGAAGGTCTAATTGTGTGGCACATGAACTCCTAAGGAAAAAAAGGAAATAATATGAGCCTTCATTCCTTGAATAAACATTTTATGAGTGCCTACCATAAAAGAGGCAGCATAAACACCAATGATAAAAATTTGAAAAATAACATTAAAGACCGACTATAAAAAAACATGAAATTCATTTGTACATAAACCAGATTATTTCACTCATATGCAGAAATCTCTAAATCCAAACCTGGACATTAGGAAGAACTTTTTTTTTACTTACTTTAAAATCTCATCTTGTTTAGAGAACATCTGGAAGATTCTGAAAGAATCTTAGGCCTACAGATGATCACATTTCCAAAATGATGAATAATGCTCTTTTCTAGACACTAGGAAATAATGAACTATCATTCCTAGTTTCTATACAGAAAAACATCCATCTGGCCCTTCATTTTGTCATCTTGGAAACAATATATTTGAATGGTCACGTGTAAAGTATTGTCTATAAAGCTAAAAATTAAGAATACAGAATAGTTTCCTCACCCATTAAAATCACTTCGAGCCCTATAGCCCTAATGCTCTGAAGTTAATTAAGAACAAGGGCAAAAACATGTAATCAGAAGGTAGTAATTTAGTCACAAGGTTTCAAGGTTGCAGAATATAGATAACATGGGCTTTTGCAATACTCATTTTGGCACTATACCAGATATAAATTCTCATGAGGAGCTTTCTGCTACTAAGCACAGTAGAAAGATGCACATAGCTTCCAGCCCTAAAGTATTCAACTCCTATAGGATGCTGAAAGAAGTAAGAGAAGTAAAAGAGAAAGAGCAAAATTTTAATTTTAAAAATGGGCTAATAGTTCACTGAAAAATAAATGCAAATGAAAATATAGAAACATATGCTCTAGTTTACTCATAAAAATATACAGATTAAACAGTTTAGTAAACTGGTAGGATACAAAATCAACACACAAAAATCAGCAGCCTTCCTATACACAAACAATGAATTTGAAGAAGAAGAAATCAAGAAAACCATTCCTTTTATTATTGAACAAAAAAAAAAAAAAAAACAAATACTTGGGAATAAACCTAACAAAAGAAGTAAAGGACCTATACAAAGAAAACTATAAAACACTGTTAAAAGAAATAGAAGTAGACACAAACAAATGGAAAGACATCCCCTGCTCATGGATCGGAAGAATTAACCTTATCAAAATGGCCATCCTACCAAAAGCAATCTACAGATTCAATGCTATTCCAATTAAAATTTCAATGTCATTCTTCAAAGAAATAGAAAAAATACTGATGACATTTGTATGGAGCCACCAAAAACCCCAAATAGCCAAAACTCTCCAGAAAAAAAAAAAAAAGAAGGGAATAGAGGCATCACGCTCTCAGATTTCAAACTATACTACAAAGCCATAATAATCAAAACTGCATGGTATTGGAACCAGAACAGACACATGGACCAATGGAGCTAAATAGAAAACCCAGAAATAAACCCACAGATTATGGGAAGAATTTTGAGTTTTCTCAAAGGCTTCTTTAACACCTATGAACACTATAATACATATTCCTTAGATCTATTAATATGGTGAATAATACAACAGATTTTCCAATATTGACTGATTTTTACATTTCTGATATAACCTCCTAAGACACATTTGATTATAATTTGATTATTTTCTTAATGTAGTATTGGAGTCCATTTGCTAATAATCTTCCATCAGCATTCATAAATGATGCTGATCTTTTTTTTTTCGTGGTCTTTTTTAAGCAAAAAAATTGAACCCAAGAATCTACAGAAACTTGCTTCAAAATACTACGATACTTCCAAACACTGAATTATAATTGTTAATTAAAAAAAAAAAAGGAATGAGAAAGATCTCTAAATTGGAATGATCTTAGAAGATGTGAAGTGGGAAAAAAGGAAGGTGAAGAAGCAGACAATGTACTACAGAAGGGACAGAGATAGATGCAAGATTCTTTAATATTGGCTCACTATATACTTAAGACTTTCAATTCATGTAAATATTTTACATATTCCAAAACAAGGTTAAGTCAAAAGAAAAACAGAAACAATGTCTAAAATCTGAAAATTAATTCACACAAACATATCCAACTAGTGTAATATACACACTTTGAAAAAAACTGTAACATAGTTTTGGAACATAAAATTTGACTGTATATCCCTCAGAGAGTATTTTCTAGGTAAAGTATAACTAAAATGAAAATGTTAAACATTATCCAACTGTCATTATTTTTAGTAGTAATACTAATACTGCTATTTTTTGAAGCATTTTATGCATATTATAAAATAAAGCAATTAAGTAATGATGGAATATTATTGAAAACAACACTAAGAGTAAGAGCTATAGCATAAGAGGACAAAATAGAAAACAGGTTAAATGAAAACTCCGTAATATCAAATTTGAAGGGAGAATATCATTATGAATGTTTTTTCCTTTTCCTTTAAAAAATAAAACCTATCCCTTAGCAAACTCCAGGTAAAGATGAGTCTGAGATTGTTGAGCCAATAGCAATTAAAAGACATTAACAACGAATGGAATGATATCAAAGAAATGTACGAGTCAGCTTGCAAGGATTCCAACTGGCCACAGACAGTACAATTTGAACGCTGGGAAAAAAAAAAACAAAACAAAAAACTAGGCCAATTCTTGTATGCATAAATAAATGAGTCTTAAAAATAAAAACTGAAAAAAAAAAAAACCCCACAAAACTAGGGGGCCTCCCTGGTGGTGCAAGGGGTTAAGTCTCAGCACTATGAAGCAATCTGCAGCCACTGCAGCACATAGTTCAGAGTACAATCCCAGGCCAGGGAGCTTATCCACATGGCACAGCAGACCTCTCCAGTCTTGTCCCCTGCTCCCCTCGGCAGTGAATCACAGTAGATCTGCCTGTTTTGCTCACCATTCTGTCTCTGGTGAATCCATCCAATCCCCTGCACCTCTGGCCTACCCCCAGTTCTTGTATGCATAAAGAAATAAATCTTTAAAAAAAAAACTGAAATTGAATGAAACAATTTGTTTGATTTTAAAAGTTCTGAAATGAAAAAAATAAAAAAAACTAACTTTCACAGATATAACTGTAACTTTATAGTAATTCTTTTGATTGGGATACGCAAAGTCCTCCAACTGTTTATCTTTTTCAAAATTTGTATTATCTATTAAGGAAGTTTTCCATTTCGATACAAGTACAAGGAACTGCCCATCAATTCCTGCACATACACACATAAAGCTTGCTGGAATTTTATAGCGTGGATTAAATCTATGAACTAACTTGTATAGAACTGCCATGTTAACAATATTGAATTGTCTCAAGTCAGAAGCATGGATTTTCTCTCCATTTACTTAGATCTTTAATTCTTTAATTTTCTTTAGCAATGGATTATAATTTCTAGTATGCAAGTCTTACATGTCTTTTCTAAAAATTATTCCTAAGTATTTTATACTTTTTGATGCTATTATACATGGTATGATATGCCTACCCACTTTCAAATGTTCACTGCTCATTTATACAAATAAATTGAATTAATATTAACTTTGTGTACTATAAATTTGCAAAATTATTAGTTGTAATGAGCACATCAAGATTTTCTACATCATACCATCTGTGAATAAAGACAATTTTATTTCTTTCCAACTTGGTTGCCTTATATTTATTTTTCTGGCCTGTTTCATTTTAAAAAGGAAAAGGGAGAGGACTATGCTTTTTTCCTGAATTTGAAAGTAAAGCATTCAGTCTTTTACTATTAAATAGTGTTGGGTATTTTTTTTAAAGATAACCTTTTACAAGTTTTATCGTGAATGGATGTTGGAACTGTTAAAAATATTTCTGCATCAACTGAAATGATAATATGATTTCTGATATTTCAATATGACAATGATATTTCTGGCCTATCAACATGGTATATAAGTTTGATACGAGATGTTAAACCAGATTTGCATTCCTAGGACAAATCCCAATTGTTTATACTGTTTACTTTTAACATGTTGGATTTAGTTTTGTTAATTTTTTTTTAGTATTTTTGTGCTTCTAGTCATTATAAGTATTGATCTAAAGTTTTCTGGTGATTTCTCTGTCTGGTTTTGGTATCTGAGTGATGCTGCCCCCCACAGAATGAGGTGGAAAGTGGTACTTCCTCCTCCATTTATGAATAAAGTTTTAGTATTATTTTGTCTTCAAATATTTGATAAAAACTGATTAGTGAACTGATCTGAATTGAAGCTTTTCTTTATGGGAATATCTTTCCCTACCTTGTTCAAATTTTCAGTGTTTATTTAGGTGGCTATCATGAAATAAAATGGCTTATTGCTTTATCCTGCAAGTTAAAATAAAAGGTAAATCAACATATTATCTGTGACCATGTCCCACCTGGCTTATTTACCGAGGAAGAAGTACAGTTGCTTATAAGAACCACATAAAAGTATTAAATAAATGACATATGAATCACCCTCTGGATCTGAGAGGTGAGCCCCAAAACAGGCTTAGCAGGGAAGTGCACACTGAGCAAAGCTGCTGCAGGCCTCCAGTGCCCACCTGCCTGAGCTTAGCAACCAAGTTGAAATGGGGCATGGGTCTGCCACTAAGATAAATTGTGGACAACAGGAAAGCACAGTACCTGCACCACTGGGGTTATTCAGGGACCCCCCCCACACACACAACCACCCTGTGGATAAGAAAGAGGGAGGGTCCTGAAATGCGGATCAGTAGGGAAGTGCACACAGATCAAAGCTCCTGCAGGCCTCTGGCACATGCCTGAGCTTTGGAGTGAGTTGAACTGGGACACGGGATCCGCCATCAAAGTTAACTGCAGGCACCACACTAGGAAAGCACAGACCCTGCGACACTATTGGAAGACAGGAACCCAACAATCCCCTTTGGGAACTGAGGAAAGGACAACTCCACAAATGAAGCGAGGGGCCCAAAATCCCCTTGTGGAACAGAGGAGAGATCGTCAATGACAGCACCCACTAGCATACCCACAGCATCACTACCCTAAGAGAATTTTGGCATAAGAGTGCTTG